ATAGCGACGTGCATGCACGTGTATGTGTGTGTGTGGCTGCTTGTACTAGTCCGGACTGATGCCGATTTATAGTGCTAGCTCACTGAGATACCATGCCGCAGTTTAACATGAATACCCCACTCAGACACAGTATACTGACTCCGAGCCGACCAGTCCTTGTTTTAGCCCCTTAATGCCGAGCGCCAGACAGGGTAACAACAAGTACAATCTTTTAACGTCTTTTTGTATGACGCGGCCCGGGATCGAACCCTGGACCTTCCGCTCTCCGGGCGGACGCTCTACCACAAGACCACGGAGGCGGTCTCTCTGTTACAGGGGCTGACGTGTTTGAATGCACATTAAACACGTTTCTGTGTTAGATTAAGCGCTATAATTGAGGTCTTATTCGTATTAGTATGTTAAATAGTATGCTCACATTTCTTACAGTTTTTGAGGAACACAAGAGCTGTGAAGCAACGCTGGCAGACCCGTTACGATAGACGCGCGCACTTGACAGGCGAGATTTACCTTACATCAAAACAATTCATGCCTATCACAATGGATACTGTGTGTGTACTTGCATAGCGAATAAGTTACTTTCTTAAGTAAACACATGCTCATGATGCAGCCGGATTCGTACAATTGACTCATTTTTAACAGAGATGTCTTGTGGCTATGGGGGGTTGTCAGTTATTTTTAGTGTCATGGCAACGAAAGTACATATAAATATTATCGATACAATGTGTTTGCAATACAGTGAACAAAGCGAGTTCGTTTGACGTCGTAGTCTCTTCAAACAGACAAACACAAATGATTGTATTTATTCCAATGTTATGTAAGTAACGTGACCTTTAAACCGCACGTATACGAGATCGACGAGAGGTTGTGGCACCCTTTTGAATCGGAAAATACCATATAACAACACATTATAAGTCGTTTTTTTAAAAACAGAACAAAGACGATGTTGATGATGACACGAAGGTCTGTTTATGTTTGTTAATACCAATCCGTGGCATTTTATGAGGTTACGACCATTTTCAGTATAAATCGAGTTACCTATATTTCTGCTTACGCCACAAAGAAGGATATTTACAGATGAATATAATCAGTTATGTGTGAGATAATGAAAATATAACTGTAAATGTATGTAAAGAGTTTGGGTCTAAAACGTTGTACGTTGTATTAAGTTACGTTGTATATTAACTTTTATCATCCAAAACGTGCTTCCACCAGAGACAATATTTGCGTGAGATCAAGCGATGTCGATATCACCCTGGAGATATCCCTACAGTGAAACTGAATCCCATAGAGGATATTATATTCGTGTTGATTATATTCGCTCGGTAAATACCGGAATTGAGGCACGAGTGTCGTCAACATAGTATGACATGAACACGAATATACGGTTCTATTTATTACCGAAGAAAATGTCGACTCACAGATACGAATTATAGTGTTTACCTATAAGGACAGCAAGTCGCAACAGCAGCGGAACCATATTAATTTGTCGAATGTCAACAATCTTTAGCTGTGACGTCGTTTCTAGAGTGACGTCATTCCGACTTTATGTCACAATAACATTTGAATGACGTCAACATTCCCGTCCAGATGACGGAAACAATACACTATTGTCTCGTGACGTATATGACTCTAGGGCACATGCGATTTTTATTAAACCCGATGTTTGCCCTCGTAGGTAATAAAATGATTTTCAGACTTGTATGACGTCATCGGTTACCATGACGTCACAATCAAATAAACTCATTAATGCCACTGCGACTGAAAGAGGCATTAATCAGTTTACACTTAAGACACTGGTGATATTTTATTATATTTTTAAGACACTGGTAATTACTCGTTAAAAATAAAAATAAATAGGAACAATGACTTTGGGCACCTCAATAAAAGCTTAAAACATTATCGACTCGTGTTCATGTAAAAGCCACTCGGGTGAGATCCTCTATGTGTCAAATACGTTATGTCATGTTGGCGAACGACCCACAGTCAGAACAGTTTGTTATTCTACTTCACGTTATTTATTGAAATGCCCTCATAGTTTATTCAAGGACACACGGCAACTATTGGGTAGGGATGAGATGGTGATGTGCATGCACACCCTTCTGGCTTGATTTGTATACCCCACAGGGAGTTGAGAATGACATTGGAGTACACTCCCGTGAGGGAGGCAATGCCGGGTAGGTAAGTGTGTCATGTGGAATCATTGTTATTAATAATAATTATTACATCTCAAATTATACAAATAAATAGAAAAATGAAATAAAAATCGACAAACAAAAAATAATGAAGAATATATGAATATAAGTATATTTCTATTTTGCAGTGGGTGATCTATCACAATTACATACACAGGTCCACTTCTATCTTACCTTACATGTAGAATACTTGAAGCTAATTGGTTAATGACGTCAATGTACGCCGCTACAACGGTACCCAAGATGAAATAATATCTCGTCGTCAAGGCAACAGACAGTGCCTCGAACTTCTCTGCAATTCAAGCTCCTCCCAGCTTACATCTTGAGTTGACCAGGCAATATGGTGACTAAAAAAACCGCTTCGCATCGTCATCTCTGCTTGTTCTCAAATTATGGTAAACGATAAACATTGCATCTTCCCGAGGCAAGAGAATTAACTGACTTTAAAAATCCAGTTTCCACCCTTGCCGAACTAGGCTGGAATTCCTAGGCTCGATCGTAGCGCCACCTGTGGTTATTACAAGTTATGTCTCTTCTTAGCCTCTTCTGTGGACCAATCAGATTCCACATCTCTTATCACTTGCATTTGTTTCAAACAAAATGGCGGCGCCCAGTCAAGACGGTCTGATCGATAATCTGTATTGTGATCAAACGGGTCTTACATCGCGAAGTGCATCAAATCACGCGAGCACCTTGATTAAAAACATGAAAAGATATAGAGGTTATCACGCAAGTGTGTTTGGGGATGGTAAATATCCTGTATGAGGAATAAACATTGTATTTAGCGAGCCTAATTGAGGATATTTACAATCCCCAAACAAGCATGATAACCTCTGTGTCATATAATGTCATTCTTCATTTCTTTGCTCGAAAATTTCTTTCCATCTCTCACAAATATTACCTAAACATTGCAATTTCCCTGGAATGTTGCGCATTAACGTATATTACGTCAGAGGGTAAGTGATGCGTCAATCGGACAGAGACAGTAGCCAATATAATTCCAACAGAAACCTGTTTCTTATACAGTGGCGTAACAGTATGTATGCAAAACAATTGCCCTCACAAATTGTTATTACTTGCCTTTCGCGGCAAACCATCGATCTGTCCGATAGAGTAACTGCCCTTTATCAAAGGGAAGCTACGCTAACCCTAGTCTTTGAAACGTCACGGCCATAGTCAGACGTTGTTGATAGCCGGCCTGTCCTGTCATAACGTTAAGAAGTGCAGTCAGATGTACATACAGCGACAAAACGAAACAAGATAACAATTCGAACATATTTCGGCCAAATCCAACTGTTTTAATTTGTGGAAAAGGTTCCAAGCCGCAGAGGTCTACAAGAACCAATTTGTAAAGTGATCCCGCTTGGCTAGTGCCCTCACTAAATTGTTTCGCAAATTATAACTCCAAAGTTGACAAAACTTGTAAAATGCCTGAGCTACGTCACAGTTAGACACTGGTTTTCAGTATATTAGACTATTCTTTTGATAATGATAGCAATTATCCCTGTAGTTTCTCCACATTCCATGGTTAATTCTGACTCGATCGCTAAATGACAAGGGCTACGCCATGTCAGTGAAAGTAGTCCCTACTTGACCTTTGATATTTGCATCCCTATCCGCATATGACCCCAACGGATATCGTCTTTATCCGTTGGCTTTATCCTGCCGAGAAACCCACCCAATATATGATTATTGGATAAAATATGTTAATATATGTTGACAACGAGTTGGCGGTGCACATGTTTTGTAAATCCTGCAATCGACCGAAATCTGCACGAAAGATAACAAACCGAATTTCGATTTCATTGCGCGATTTTGATTGGACTATGCATAGACTCACTAGTCCAGCCAAAATTTAACTCCATAATGCTAGCCTAGTTCGGCAAGGGTGGAAACTGGACTTTTAAAGTCAGTTAACTCTCTTGCCTCGGGAAGATGTAAACATGGCGGTGAGATGTCCCCCTGTGTGTGGGCAATATAATATGGCAATATACATAAGTATGAACGATTCGGGTGAACTTCTTTTAAAAAGACATATATTTCTATATTTCCTAGTGTGAGTGAGTTTGGTTTTACGCCGCTTTACCAATATTCCAGCAATATCCCGCCGGGGGACACCAGAAATTGGCTTCACACATTGTACCCAATTCGAACCCGGGTTTTCGGCCACCAGGATACCCGACCGCCCCTTATATTTCTACACTATGATCAGCGTGTCTGTACCCTAGCTGTGCATGCATTATATGACTAATCACCTTGTCTGTGAGCTATGTCATTATCTGCATATATCCATCTCAAGTACCCGAGCGCCATGAAGAATACTTACCATCATGGTTCTACAAAGAAATATATAAAAGTAAATCCTCTTGAGACAAAAACCTAACATCTTCACATTCAATCTTTCCATGGGAACATGAACAGGGGTTACAAAAGAAGGCTCCGTGTAAACGTTTCTTATTTGTTTAATATTCGTCAGACGTTGCAATGTCAACAATCCATCGCTGCACATTAACTACGATGCATCAGTGTGGGTGATAGCACAGGCCTTCTTGAGTGGAAGTCCTCAGGCGATCAGCAGACAATCATAGAGGGCCATAAAGTATGGCGTTTCGTTCCATTAGGTGAGTTCAAGCACTGTATCTATAGTCAGCATCATCAACCCTGCTGCCGATAATGGATGCCACCATTATCACCTGTCAGGTAAGCGACTCGGGGGAGGGGTTACTCGCATCAATCAGGCCACTTCTCTTGCGTGTATTGATCCGGCGAGGACAGGTGAGCTACACAGGCGGTAGATTGATTTCGCAATGTTTGGCCAATCGAAGGCTCAGGCGTTGGTAATGAGTTAATATTCATCTGTCCTGTCTTCTGTTTTTATTACAGATAGACGCCATAAATGTCCCGGTAGAAATACAGACAGGTGAGTACCGAACATTTATATCTGAAAATGACTGGATTCTTTATAACAATTTGTTGTATTGCATCGAACGTAACGCTCTCTTTTAACTATTGCATTCGAGCTACATAGTGTAAACTATATTAAAAGATATTAGCAAATAATCTTTAAAAACATACTATAAAATAAATACAGTTAATACGTTTTTGTCGTTCATGGTGGTACGATCTTAAAAGAAACAAGCGGCAGACTACGTTTCGATGGATGAAGCTTTGCTGTTATAACGACTACGCAATAGCAATCCACTACAGTGTATGTACAGCTCCACTGTTTTGCGACAGGACATAATTATCGAGCGTCATGTAGTATAGGTGGCATTGTGTATGTGAGCATTAAAATAAGAGGCTGACCTTTATCCTGCCTATTATAAGCATGGCCATCACAATATACTCATATCCTGCCAAAAAATGACGATATACGAAATTGAAGAAGTTTTATAAAAATGTAGCTGTTGATGTTGACGTGTGTGAAGAGAAGGTAGTTGTTGTGTAGGCGGTGGTCGACGTTCCTGTCACAGCTGTGTGTGTACAAGGTTCCCCCTGGTGATATCTGACTGGGACATCACAATGCATTAATGACAAATCCACAGGCGCTACACTACAAGTTGCGCCTCGGGCTTTCGCTGCTGCATCAAACACCGAGTGTTATCAAATCCTGCACATCCTGTGATGAACGCTGTATAAATACTGCACCTTGTAATATCATGTATATAATAATTTTCCCGATTATCTGGAAATGACTGAGTGAGTCGATATTGACTCTGTTATAGTCATACCACCATGGGGTGATACCAAGCATGGAACAGATTTACATACAGGTACATTTACCGGTGTGCATTTCCTGTACATGTGTATTGCCGCGAGTGTCTTCAGTCGTACATGCATATATCAATGTATTGCTGCTAGTGTCTTCAGTCGTACATACATCTATCAATGTATTGCTGCTAGTGTCTTCAGTCGTACATACATATATCAATGTATTGCTGCTAGTGTCTTCAGTCGTACATACATATATCAATGTATTGCTGCTAGTGTCTTCAGTCGTACATACATATATCAATGTATTGCTGCTAGTGTCTTCAGTCGTACATACATATATCAATGTATTGCTGCTAGTGTCTTCAGTCGTACATGCATATATCAATGTATTGCTGCTAGTGTCTTCAGTCGTACATACATATATCAATGTATTGCTGCTAGTGTCTTCAGTCGTACATACATATATCAATGTATTGCTGCTTGTGTCTTCAGTCGTACATGCATATATCAATGTATTGCTGCTAGTGTCTTCAGTCGTACATACATATATCAATGTATTGCTGCTTGTGTCTTCAGTCGTACATACATATATCAATGTATTGCTGCTTGTGTCTTCAGTCGTACATGCATATATCAATGTATTGCTGCTAGTGTCTTCAGTCGTACATACATATATCAATGTATTGCTGCTAGTGTCTTCAGTCGTACATACATATATCAATGTATTGCTGCTAGTGTCTTCAGTCGTACATACATATATCAATGTATTGCTGCTTGTGTCTTCAGTCGTACATGCATATATCAATGTATTGCTGCTAGTGTCTTCAGTCGTACATACATATATCAATGTATTGCTGCTTGTGTCTTCAGTCGTACATACATATATCAATGTATTGCTGCTAGTGTCTTCAGTCGTACATACATATATCAATGTATTGCTGCTTGTGTCTTCAGATGTACATACATATATCAATGTATTGCTGCTAGTGTCTTCAGTCGTACATACATATATCAATGTATTGCTGCTTGTGTCTTCAGTCGTACATACATATATCAATGTATTGCTGCTAGTGTCTTCAGTCGTACATGCATATATCAAGGTATTGCTGCTTGTGTCTTCAGTCGTACATACATATATCAATGTATTGCTGCTAGTGTCTTCAGTCGTACATACATATATCAATGTATTGCTGCTTGTGTCTTCAGTCGTACATGCATATATCAATGTATTGCTGCTTGTGTCTTCAGTCGTACATGCATATATCAAGGTATTGCTGCTTGTGTCTTCAGTCGTACATACATATATCAATGTATTGCTGCTAGTGTCTTCAGTCGTACATACATATATCAATGTATTGCTGCTTGTGTCTTCAGTCGTACATGCATATATCAATGTATTGCTGCTTGTGTCTTCAGTCGTACATGCATATATCAATGTATTGCTGCATGTGTCTTCAGTCGTACATACATATATCAATGTATTGCTGCTTGTGTCTTCAGTCGTACATACATATATCAATGTATTGCTGCTAGTGTCTTCAGTCGTACATACATATATCAATGTATTGCTGCTAGTGTCTTCAGTCGTACATACATTATATCAATGTATTGCCGCTAGTGTCTTCAGTCGTACATACATTATATCAATGTATTGCTGCTAGTGTCTTCAGTCGTACATACATTATATCAATGTATTGCTGCTTGTGTCTTCAGTCGTACATACATATATCAATGTATTGCTGCTTGTGTCTTCAGTCGTACATACATTATATCAATGTATTGCTGCATGTGTAATCAGATTTACTTACACATATCAATGTATTGCCGCGAGTGTCTTCAGTCGTACATACATTATATCAATGTATTGCCGCGAGTGTCTTCAGTCGTACATACATTATATCAATGTATTGCCGCGTGTGTCTTCAGTCGTACACACACATATAAATATATTGCCGCTAGTGTCATCAGTTTACATGAATATATCAATGTATTGCTGCTCGTGTCTTCAGTAGTACATACATATATCAATGTATTGCTGCGCGTGTCTTCAGTAGTACATACATATCTCAATGTATTGCTGCATGTGTCTTCAGTCGTACAAACATACATCAATGTAATGCATCTAATGTCATCAGTTTTACATGCACATATGAATGTATTGCTGCTAGTGTCTTCAGTCGTACACACATATATCAATGTATTAATATTGCCGCATGTGTCTTCAGTCGTACACACATATATCAATGTATTGCTGCTAGTGGCTTCAGATGTACATACATATATCAATGTATTGCTGCTAGTGTCTTCAGTCGTACATACATATATCAATGTATTGCTGCTAGTGTCTTCAGTCGTACATACATATATCAATGGATTGCTGCTTGTGTCTTCAGATGTCCTAGCATCTATCACTGTATTGCTGCTAGTGTCTTCAGATGTACATACATATATCAATGGATTGCTGCTAGTGTCTTCAGATGTACATACATATATCAATGTATTGCTGCTAGTGTAATCAGTTTTCCTTACACATATCAATGTATTGCTGCTAGTGTCTTCAGTCGTACATACATATATCAATGTATTGCTGCTTGTGTCTTCAGTCGTACATACATATATCAATGTATTGCTGCTAGTATCTTCAGATGTACATACATATATCAATGTATTGCTGCTTGTGTCTTCAGATGTACTAGCATCTATCACTGTATTGCTGCTAGTGTCTTCAGATGTACATACATATATCAATGGATTGCTGCTAGTGTCTTCAGATGTACTAGCATCTATCACTGTATTGCTGCTAGGGTCTTCAGATGTACATACATATATCAATGTATTGCTGCTAGTGTAATCAGTTTTACTTACACATATCAATGTATTGCTGCTAGTGTCTTCAGTCGTACATACATATATCAATGTATTGCTGCTTGTGTCTTCAGTCGTACATACATATATCAATGTATTGCTGCTAGTGTCTTCAGTCGTACATACATATATCAATGTATTGCTGCTAGTGTCTTCAGTCGTACATACATATATCAATGTATTGCTGCTTGAGTCTTCAGATGTACTAGCATCTATCAATGTATTGCCGCTAGTGTCTTCAGATGTACTAGCATCTATCAATGTATTGCTGCTAGTGTCTTCAGTCGTACATACATATATCAATGTATTGCTGCTTGTGTCTTCAGATGTACATACATATATCAATGTATTGCTGCTAGTGTCTTCAGTCGTACATACATATATCAATGTATTGCTGCTTGTGTCTTCAGTCGTACATACATATATCAATGTATTGCTGCTAGTATCTTCAGATGTACATACATATATCAATGTATTGCTGCTAGTGTCTTCAGATGTACTAGCATCTATCACTGTATTGCTGCTTGTGTCTTCAGATGTACATACATATATCAATGTATTGCTGCTAGTGTAATCAGTTTTACATACACATATCAATGTATTGCTGCTAGTGTCTTCAGTCGTACATACATATATCAATGTATTGCTGCTAGTGTCTTCAGTAGTACATACATATATCAATGTATTGCTGCTTGTGTCTTCAGTCGTACATACATATATCAATGTATTGCTGCTAGTGTCTTCAGTCGTACATACATATATCAATGTATTGCTGCTTGTGTCTTCAGATGTACTAGCATCTATCAATGTATTGCCGCTAGTTCCTTCAGATGTACTAGCATCTATCAATGTATCGCTGCTAGTGTCTTCAGTCGTACATACATATATCAATGTATTGCTGCTTGTGTCTTCAGATGTACATACATATATCAATGTATTGCTGCTAGTGTCTTCAGTCGTACATACATATATCAATGTATTGCTGCTTGTGTCTTCAGTCGTACATACATATATCAATGTATTGCTGCTTGTGTCTTCAGATGTACTAGCATCTATCAATGTATTGCTGCTAGTGTCTTCAGTCGTACATACATATATCAAAGTATTGCTGCTTGTGTCTTCAGATGCACATACATATATCAATGTATGTTGCTAGTGTCTTCAGTCGTACATACATATATCAATGTATTGCTGCTTGTGTCTTCAGATGTACTAGCATCTATCAATGTATTGCTGCTAGTGTCTTCAGATGTACTAGCATCTATCAATGCATTGTTGTTAGTGTCTTCAGTCGTACATACATATATCAATGTATTGCTGCTAGTGTCTTCAGTCGTACATACATATATCAATGTATTGCTGCTTGTGTCTTCAGATGTACTAGCATCTATCAATGTATTGCTTCTAGTGTCTTCAGATGTACTAGCATCTATCAATGTATTGCTGTATGTATCTTCAGATGTACATACATATATCATTCCTTACTCCATGTGTCTCCAGCTGAACACACATTTATCAATATATTGCTATGTCTGTGTCGTGCATGCGTCTCCAGCTGAACACACATTTATCAATATATTGCTATGTCTGTGTCGTGCATGTGTCTCCAGCTGAACACACATTTATCAATATATTGCTATGTGTGTGCTACCAGTCCGGAAGGCGTGAAACGTTGTCCTGATATCAGCTCTTGGTTTGTTTGGTTCAGACTCGAGTATTTACAGACCGCCATGACACAGTCCTTTAACTGTAGCGTCAAACAACAAGCACAAACACCTGTAGACTATATAGCTAAAATGGAACACAAGTTTCGCAGAACTTAGTTCTATCTGATTCTGAAAATGACATTATTTACTGTCGTTATCATCAGTTCCACCAGAGACCATATAATTGATATTACATGTTCTCTGGTTCAACCTAGCTCCGAGTGCCGGTCATCACTCGGTTCTCTATCCCGAGCCCGCCTGGCCGCCGCGCTATACACAAGGTACCTTGCGTTTCGGTGGCACGGGTGGCCCAGTCGTCTATGGCGCCGCGTTTCGGCACGCCAGAAACCTATGACTGTGGGTTCGATTCCCGGTTCGCCCCGATTTATGTTTTTAGGTTTGTCAGAACCATACCCGTGCTCGTGGGTTTCACCGAAGTGGTAAACGTCTGAGACCTGCATCACTTCGGGCTTTCCTTCCACATTAAGCTGACACCCGGTGATTTAACTGGAATAATGTTAAAAGCGGCGTTAAAACCCAACTCCCCCTCCCTCACCTTGCGTTTCAGGTTAGCCTCCTCTATGTCCAACTCAGGGGGCACGGGTGGCCCAGTCGTCTAAGGCGCCGCGATTCGCTGTGCAGAGTTGCGTCCCTTGGGGACGCCAGAAACCTATGATTGTGGGTTCGAATCCCGGTTCGCCCCGATTATGTTTCTAGGTTTGTCAGCACCATACCCGTGCTCGTTGGTTTCACCGAAGTGGTAAACGTCTGAGACCTGCATCACTTCGGGCTTTCCTTCCACATTAAGCTGACACCCGGTGATTTAACTGGAATAATGTTAAAAGCGGCGTAACACCCAACTCACTCACTCACTCACTATGCCCACCTCCAAACAAACGAAACAAAAGTAGATGAAAGATTGGGGAATATTCATCCATTTCGATCATCTGATGTTAGTTTTGGATGATTTTATGGATTTTCATATCGAAAACTCTGAACATTAAACAAAACAAACTAGGTTTTCTCAACACAGACGACTGAAAGCTTGTTTAATCAATTTTCACTTAGATTCAATAAACAAGCATTCTACATACGGGTCGCAGGTATATGTGCCATTTCCAATAGTGTGCTCTCCAACTAAACCTGACTTTTAATCCATACCAAAAGTGAGGAAATTGATGAAGAAGGAATTTATCAATACAGGGCCGTTCACTGTGTTTGATTACTGAAATGGGGATGAACGCTGCACGTGTTCTGGCTCTGATAAAAAGGGAAACCATGTAAACGATTGACTGCGTTGTTTGGTGATAACGACGTTACAAGATTGATATGTGGATTCCCCGAGGCGCTGTTCTCTCGCGGTCAACGGGTACGAGCAGTGGTATGTTGACATTGTATGCTTGAAACAAACATACACGATGTATTCGAGAAACACATTCTTGTATAATTGCAGTGTCGTATCTTCATTAGTCGGTGTTGGCTGACAGGCAGATGCTACGCGTCCGAGTAGGGTTTTAAAGGAAGCAGCTGACAGAAGCTTCTTAACTGCCGGCTTGGATCTGTGTGTAGAAAATCTCCGTGACGCTAAAGATAAGACCGATACTGTAATCGTCCTGTTGGAATAAGCAGCGCTTGAAAATAGGAGGTCGATGGTGACCTTTAAGTGAAGATCATCTATGTCCATTGGATTTAGGACTTTCTCCATCACACTGTCATCCTTGCTTTAGCGGGAAATTTACAACGGGATATACTACTCATAAGAAGTTTAAGAACATCCGATTTTTTTCATAAGAGTATAGTTAATGTGTCATGCCACACACTGTCATATTACAAAATCGGGTGTTCTTTAACTTCTTTTGCGTCGTATGAATTTAATAAGGTCACATTTCAGAACCGTGTGTCAATGCTGGGTTTCATTTTCAGAAACTAGGCCACTGACTGGATTGGATGACGATGTCGTGGCTGTATGATGCTGCATTTGTCGTCTTGGTGTGGACCGCCACATCACAGGCACTTAACGTCACTGTTCGTAAGTTCATATTTGTGGTCTGCAATAGTGTATGCTTGTAGGAGCAATGTGCGTGTGTATATGTTCTCTCTCTCTCTCTCTCTCTCTCTCTCTCTCTCTCTCTCTCTCTCTCTCTCTGTCTCTCTCTACCGCCTCCGTGGTCTTGTGGTAGAGCGTCCGCCCGGAGAGCGGAAGGTCCGGGGTTCGATCCCCGACCGCGTCATACCAAAAGACGTTAAACGATGGTACTTGTTGTTACCCTGTCTGGCGCTCGGCATTAAGGGACTAAAACAAGGACTGGTCGGCTCGGAGTCAGTATACTGTGTCTGAGTGGGGTATTCATGTTAAACTGCGGCATGGTGTCTCAGTGAGCTAGCACTATAAATCGGCATCAGTCCGGACTAATACAAGCAGCCACACAAACACACACACGTACATGCAAGTCGCTATATAAGTGCAATAATCTTGGACGCGACGTTAAAACCCAATTTCACCTCACCTCTCTCTCTCTCTCTCTCTCTCTCTCTGTGTGTGTGTGTGTGTGTGTGTGTGTGTGAGTGTGCGCACACCGATCTAGGACGTCATCAGTGATATTTCTTTTGTTGATGAAGAATGAGCGTGCATGAGAATATACGTGTACCATGCAAATATGTTGAATGAGAGAACGATCTAATAGAATTGGTGCCGCAATTATTTACCACCAAAGTTTACAAATACCATGTGTTCCTATGTTTCCATGTTGCTTTGTAGTTGTGATCCGTGAGCATAATGAAGAACCCGCAGCTCCACCCACAACACCCCATGACGTCACTTCCTCTTCTACCACCTTCCGCATCGTGGACGATGTTGACATTTTCAACTTTTGGGCGACAGGTACGTGTAGACGTGTTGCAGCTTCTTCAACGATGGCTCATGATACAAACTACTGGATCAAGGAGTCAAACCACCCACACCTTGTGCATCAATATATTCATTTGGCTTTTCTCAGTTTTTGAACAATGTTCTTTACAGTCCTTTGTAAACTTTGTCTTCACAAAAAAGCCTTTTGTTGGTAAGTTCCAATTATTTGTCCATAAAGCCTTAAATGTGAGCAACAAGACCTGTCTAAACAGGATATTTGAATACATAATGTCATGAAATACATGCTTTCCGCTGTGAAAGCAATCGGTATACAATGATTTATAATAACATACATAATAATATACATGTCCCAAACGGAACTCTCACTGTCGGATTTATACTCGGCATTTAAGTTTAAGTTAGGACCTGAGTTGCATGTCATTGATCCTTCATTTGTTTTATATGGTTGCAAATTGACAAAATTTCGTACAAATTCCAAGTTATTTGTGGAACAAGGACGGTTTACTAATAAACAATTATAAAAACATACCAAAATCTATCACAAATAAATCTAACTTAAACGGTACAGTAATGTAGGAAATTGCGTTTAGGAGCATCTTAGTTTTAAAAAATACCTGGGGGAGCTAGCGTTTTGCTTTGTAAGTTTTGCTAAGACTTAATATTCGCCAGTTTGCACCCTGGCGTCCGATTCCTCTGTAAGGTATTAGAGGAAGCAAGTAAGCGACACCTAAAGGCTGAAAGAACAAAAGTAACACGTGACCAAAATGCCTTACAATAGAAATTCCCTTTCTGCACCTGACGGAAGGGACAATAATAATAATATACTATTTATTTGTGACCTGCTATGCATATGGCTTTAAGCACATAATTATAGAAATTCTCATGCAAATATAACATACATGTGTGTGTTGATGTGCCCCGTCTTTGATGTCAGAATACCCCGCCCTGTCCGGCTGGCTGGTGGTGCTGGACACTCGGACAACGTCCTGTCCTCTGGACCTCTTCCACAACAACCTCTTGGGCTACATAACGCTCCACCCGGGGACGTGCGGCGCGGAGAATGATACTTCCGTCTACCAAGTGCACACGACACCGTTTGACTACCGCGACGTGGTGGTAAATGTGGCGAACTACACACATTCCCCGAGTAACTCGGTCGCCTTTCTGTATGATGAATCTGGAAGAGGTATGTAACTTTAATAATAATAATAATAATAAGTGCATTTATATTGCGCCAGATTCCATTCACCAAATGGATGCTCAAAGCGCTACACTATTATTACCCCGGTCAATGGATCAGTGAGCACTGGATTTTCATTCTCATCTCCCTGGGGAGTATACAACCCAAGCTGCCCGTGAGGCGCTAGAAGGTTAACAGCCACATAACCATCTCATCCTACCGGGTACCCACTCACTGCTGGGTGAACAGAGGCACATTTCGAACAAAGTCACTTGTCTAAGGAGACACCACATGTGTTACATTAGCTTCAGTGTAGGGCAGAACCAAAGCCCTAGAAACTCTCTGGAGTCAAGCTTAATGTGGTCACCCATCCAAGTACTCTCCGAGACCGACTTTGTTTAACTTCACTTGATTTGTATTATGTGCGCTGTGCACAGGACCACGTGCCATCTCAACTACTGTCGTTAAAAATGGTTTTGTCATATCGCAAAATTACCTCAAGATTAAATATTTGCTCCTACCCCTACTCGAGGCGGCTCCAGACATGTCAACTTATTTTCGACGAAAGTGAACTTTGAATAAAGATGGAATAAAAACACACACGGAGGTCGCTACCAAAACGCGTACTAGTTGTTGTTCCCGATCTCGAATCTCGAAAGGTAACTTTCTGTGGAATAAGTATACGAATGTGATGGAAATGTATAAGGTATAATGTATAATGTATAACTTAGGTAGGTAGGTAGTTTGTACACATATTTTATAATGTGTATCTTATCAGACATGCTGAGGATCCTACAGCGTACACTGCCACACTTCTAACAGGTCCTCGCAGCCCCAGTAGCAGAAAACCTAAGAGTGAGTGAGTGATTGAGTATGGTTTTACGCCGCTTTTAGCAATATTCCATCAATATCACGGCGGGGGACACCAGAAATGGGCTTCACACATTGTACATTGTCTTTGGCGTGACGAGCGAACGCTTTAACCACTAGGCTACCCGACCGCCCCAGTAAAGCTAAAAAGTACACGATGTGGATACGGTAACCGCAGCTCATTCGTTGGTATGATGTTCTCTCTGATAGGTCTCAGTTTGTTTCAGAGTACCACGAACAGATCAGTCTGCGCAAATTAAACCATTTTCTGTTCCAACTCGAGCTGCCCCTGCCACGCGATAACATACCGGAAATGCTGGCGAACCTGACCGTGAAGACCGATGTCCGATACGTGTTTCTGATGGGAACATCGGTGTCTTTAGGAGATATGCTCACACACGTAAGTCAGTCGGATTTCCACTTCAGAGCAACATATGTTTTCCTAGATAATAATAGATAAAAATATATTTGTGCAATAATCGCTATTCTACAATATACTTGTATTTAGAAAAGTTCGTCATTCTAATAGGTCATTCAACCATTACCATAAATTTCTAATTAATTTAAGTGCTGAAAGATCATGTTTTCTAAGTTGGTTCCTGCGATACAATATCAAAATATTGTCATAGAAATGCAGAAGCCACACTGTAAAAAAATATTTAGATCCTAAGCACATTCCTTGTCCCATAATTGTGATGCGTTTAGGATCTAAACATGTTTAAGATTGTGTTTAACAGCTAAACGTATAAATCCTAAACATGTTTAGATTAAGGGGAGGTTTTGGATTTAGGTGGTATTTAGACTGAGACGATAGCTCAATTCATGCGTTAAGAACCTAACGTGTTTAGATAGAACTCACCAAATGTGTATCCCGTTTGGGATTTAAACACATTCCTAAACATGTTTAGGTCTAAACATGTCTTGTATGTTGAACATTTCTCTGTGTGTAGGCACATCGGTTGAACATGTTGTCTGGGCGCTATCACTGGCTGATATACTCCACAGACGGAATCACACCCCACTGTATCAGGGGCCACGATCACACCATCCTCTTCATCAAAGACCTCCACAACACGGTAATGGGTACATAAGTCCACTTTCCAACCTTGCAGAACTAGGCTGGAACTCGGAGTTACCTTTTGGCTTGACTAACGAGCCCATGCATAGTCCAGCCAAAATCGCGTAACGACCTGGACATCCGGGTCGTGAACAACATTGATTTCAATGTGCAGATTTCGGTCGACTGCAAGATTTGAGAAGCATGTGTACTGTCAACTGGGTGTCGACAGATATTTTCCAAATCTTTTCATGTTTTTAATTAAGGTTCTCAAATGATTTGATGCACTTCGCGAGGGAAGACCCGGTTTTTTTTTAAAATATAGACCTTGATTATCGATCAGGTCGTCTTGCCTGGGAACCGCCATTTTGTTTGAAGCAAATACAAGTGATAAGAGAGGTGGAATCTGATTGGTCAATAGGAGGGACAAAGAAGGAACATAACTCGTAAAAAACACTGGGGGCGCTACGATCGAGTCACAAAATTTTAGCCTGGTTCGGCAAGGGTGGAAACTGGACTATTGTAGTCAGTTAAGGCCCTTGGTGGACCACATGCCGGTATTCAAAACAGTCCATGGTATACGTGAAGAACCGTTTTACAAACATGGCGGACCCGTGAAGATCCGGGGTAGAATAGGCCTACAGAAGCCCATGCTTGTCGTAAAAAGCGACTATACTTGTCGTAACGGGATCGGGTGGTCAGGTTCGCTGACTTGGTTGATACATGTCATCGTATCCCAGTTGCGTGGATCGATGCTCACGATGTCAATCACTGGATTGTCTGATCCAGACTCAATTATTTACAGACCGCCGTCATGTAGCTGGAATATTGCCGAGTGCGGCGTTAAACAATTAACAACAAAAAAACAAAAGTGGCGGCTACTCAATATTTTCGTTAGTTTGTTATGTCACAGGAAGTACGAGTTCATAAAACGTGCTTACTACGCTCTATGTTGCAGGTAACTATGGACAACGAACGCCGGCTGATGGCTTTCACAGCTGACGTCATCGAGGAGATGCATGACGTCATAGCCGCCACGTCGGACCCTGTCTGTGACTGCACGTCGTCTTGTGAATCCTGCAGATCACTTTTCAACAGGTCGCTGAACAAGGTGCAAACTTCTAGTCGTAACGAGACGGAATCAACAGTTAAATACATTAGTTAATCTATTTTTCATTTAAGACATTTCATCGTCAAAGTAAATTAACACATAAACATGTATGGTTGAAATGATTGCATGTTTTCTAGGTTATGGAGGGTGAGACTCAGGTGTTTCGTCAAGACGACGGAGCTGGGAGTGAAGTGAAGTTTACACTTTCCAAATACACCGGCAACGACACAACAAGTCTCTCAAAGGTCAATATAACCTATTTGCTATAAAATACATTCTACAAACACTATATATGTCTAATTCCAGACATACGATTCATTACTGGAATAGTCCACATTTGATCCTAATTCCGAAATCCAGTATTCCCCATTGAAGAATAGGTATAAATACCTATAAATACTATAACATATTCAATACGATTCCGATGGTCCCTTGGGCGATATAACTATGTTCTATAATAGTAAACTGAAAAAGACAAAACTAGAGAGCCGTCATCAATTATGTTACCCTAGAGGATCAAATCAATCATCAAAGATTACTGGGGCGGTCGGGTAGCCTAGTGGTTAAAGCGTTCGCTCGTCACGCCGAAGACCCGGGTTCGATTCCCGACATGGGTACAATGTGTGAAGCCCATTTCTGGTGTCCCCCGCCGTGATATTAATGGAATATTGCTAAAAGCGGCGTAAAACCATACTCACTCACTCACTCACTCAAAGATTACTGATGAACGGTTGCACACTGTTTATGGGAGTCTGTCCCATCATATGCCACAGTTTTAACGTTATGTGAAGGAATTTCGAAGATGCCCCCGCTCGGGTCGACCCACAAGCCGCACCACAAAAGAAAACATTGATGTCACAACCACCTGAACAATAAACACATTACACTACATGAATTAAAGAAGACCTCGTGCTTCCCGCGTGGGTCATTAGAACCAGTCCTTCATGAACACCTACGCATGTCCAAGGTGCCCGAAGCTATCGTTCGATGGAGGCTGTCGGATGACATGAAGACAACGCGGGTCACCATCAAAACCAGATATAACAGCAATCCAGAAGGTTTTTGTTTTTAAACAAGTGACAGGTGTTGCGACCTGGATCCATCATCGTGATCCCGAGAGAGTGGAAACACGGGTCTGTAAAAACCAAGAGGTTCACAGCAACTAGATCCACAAAGAAAGTAATGGCCGTTTCTTTTAGGGCAGGAACGGCTTAATACATACAACTGTGAATGGTGAATATTATGGTAACTTGAAAAGAAGGAAAGAGTTTCTCAACGAGAAGCGTCGCGGCCAACCTCGGCTTGGTAATCCATCACCATCAGCACACGGCTCCAGTTGACACCAGTTTGCTGTTCGGGAATGTGGATACCAGCTTTAACCCATCCACCTTTTTCACCATATCACCTACCCCCCTCGTGACCACCTGTTTTCAAATATCATTAAAAACACTTACGTGGTCACTGATATAACGAGGACCAACAACTGGATGCTGTCCAGTGAGTGATTTGGTATTTAACAGTATTCCAGTTATATCACGGCGTGTAAGCTTAACATGGAAGGAAAGCCCAACGTGATGCAGGTCTCAGGCGTTTATTACTTTGGTGAAACCCACGAGCACGGGTATGGTGCTGACAAACCTAAAAACCTTATTGGGTCGAACTGGGATTCGAACCCGCAATCATAGGTTTCTTTCTTGCCCAAGAGACGCAACTCTTCATAGCGAATTTCGACCCTATGGCCGACCGACTGAACCATCTGTGGCCTCGGGTGTTGTTGGAGGTCATGTTGACACACCAGGATTTGACCTTCTACTAAACGGAAAGCAACCTGAAAAATACAAGGAACACGTGTATTGAACTGCCAGGAGACTACATTCGAGACAGTGTTTCAGTTTTATGTAGGCTTGGCTCAAAATGTCTTGATATACCTTCGAAGTAGCTAAAACATAACTACATGTGACTACATGTTTGCTCTGTCCACAGGTGGCCACGTGGAGTGAAAGTGGTGGGGTGGAGTCGACCGATCAGCTGTTTAACTGTGGTGTCAGGGGCGTGGTCCTCAGGGTGGCGGCTGTGGTGGTACGGTATAACACGTGTCGAAAACGCCCTGTAACTACCCCCCTCTCACACATGCACTCATGCACTGAAACATGTGAGATAGGGTAGTCCAATGGTTAACGGGTTTGCTTGTCAACCGACGTTCTGGGATCGGTTCTCGAAGTGAGAATAATGTGGTCAGATCATTCCTTGGAGTCCCCCACGTGGTATTGCTTGCAACACAAAACCATTTACTTCATGTGATAAATATGTTTATGAATGTGAAAACTATAAACGTCTTGACGTCAATGATCAACGGGGCGGTCGGGTAGCCTAGTGGTTAAAGCGTTCGCTCGTCACGCCGAAGACCCGGGTTCGATTCCCGACATGGGTACAATGTGTGAAGCCCATTTCTGGTGTCCCCCGCCGTGATATTGCTGGAATATTGCTAAAAGCGGCGTAAAACCTCACTCACTCACTCACTCAATGATCAACATGCAATCAACATTGTACACTACGAATGTATAAACATAATTTCTTTTTTTTAAATTACTGCGTGATACGTCTTTGAATAGCATTTAGAAGTGATATACATAAGAAGAGAATTTATGGAGGTCAACTTCTTTATAATGAGGAACACAAAGTTTCGGCTGGATACAGCTTTTTTGAAAGAGGGGGGGGGGGGGGGGGGGGTTGCAGAATTAAGATTTGTCTTTGGTGGTAATTTATACAGAAATAAAGATTTCTTTCGAAAAATACACCGCCCATATACTCGTTAATCCGACATAATCATGTGCAACCAACAATGTCGGATTAACGGGACTTGACTGTATATGCTTACTTCTTCATGATGATTCAACTGATGAAGTAGGAAGCATATACTCCGAAACGTTGTGTTCCTCATAATAAAGGTGTTGACATCCATAAATTCTCTTCCTTATCCTGCATGATAATTCCCAATTCCAGGAGCCTCCTTTCGTATTCCGCAACTCCACCGGGGACTACTCTGGTTACAGTATTGACGCCCTTGAGGCCATTTCCAAAATTATCGGCTTTACCTACACCGTGAAGGAGTGCTATGATGGTCACTATGGCAACATGGACTCTAACAGCGTGTGGACTGGCTGCATCAGGAACATCGTCGACGGGGTATGGTTGTTGGACTCATCAACTCAAATATGAAAAAAAGTGTTCCAAACGTTTAAAAACATCATCTGTTGTGATAAACAAATGGTTAATAACACGGTGCGTTATGTGATTGTTGATGGTTACATTGGAATTGTTACTATTACGAGATTATTGACATTGATAATATTAATTTCGTCACCGCAGAACCGAAGTGTAATTCCACAAAACTTAGTTCTAAGATTATTGGTGTTAAAAGTCTGAAGCTTTTATATGTCGCAAATGTTACTAACATTAAAAAAATTGTCACAGTAAAAGTATTCCGACAGGCTGATAATTTTGCATTATAATTAAATAACATTTTTTCTGTCAAAACAAATCTTCCACATCAATGTAATTAATGTAATCAAATAGTAATTTATACTAAAACATTTTTACTTCCATATTGCTCTATGTTCCGGATTCTGGATTAGCGAAAAATCCCAACTTGCAATCGAGTCGATTCTAAATTCTAGTTGAACTGAGGACTTATTTAGTTAGACATATGCAATTTTAAGATAATTTCCCTCTCGGGGTGCCCTTATGATACATATTTATTTCATTGTATTCATTTCTGATTTTGGGAGAGTTTGAAGGGACGCTGATGGTCAATTTGACCAAAGCAGCGAACATTGCTTTGTGTCCCTGACCTTGTCAAAGTCAACGTAGTGTGACGCAGTGAGCTGCTATGACGTTCTTTGTTTGTTTGTTGTTTAACGCAGCACTCCCATATTTGAGCAATATTCCAGCTGTAAAGAATCTAGTCTAGAGCAGACAATCCAGTGATTGACATCATGAGCATCGATCTGCGCAACTGGGATATGGAGACATGCAACCAAGTCAGCGAGCCTGACCACCCAATCCCGTATGTCGCCTCTTACGACAAGCATGAAATTTGCCTTTGACGGCAAGCATGGTTGCCGAACACCTATTATAAACCTAGTGGCTGTTTGTGTAACTCGATATGAAGTATTAGGAGTAGCGATTGTAACACCTCGCAGGAGGTATAACAACGATTTTAACACCTCGCAGAAAGGCTTACAATCATTGTAAACCCTTGATAGAACAAAAACTTCGAACAGCCTACGAGACGCACGTGCAGATTTCGTGCCATTGCGAGACGCACGTGCAGATTTTTTCCACCGTTGCGAAACCCACGTGCTGAGGTCACCGCTTTCATTGAACCGAGTTCACGACTGCAGGCGATATTTCATCTCCGATACAGGTTATACATTTGAGAGTTTTTATTACAGTTATTTAATTAAAAACGTTGTCTTTGAGATGAGTCGGTTTATAAGTTGGACAAACCATGTCTCCTCCAGATTACTAGAGATAGTAAACCCTCATGTGAGGGTTTACGATCTCTAGTAATCCCTCGGAGAAATGGTTTCTCCTACACGTATAATCCGCATCTTCACGGGTACTATGACATATACTGAACCATAGAAAGCGGCGTTGTGGGACAAGTCACACACGTTGGTGAGTGAGTGAGTGAGTGAGTTGGGTTTAACGCCGCTTTTAACATTATTCCAGTTATATCGTGGCGTGTCAGCTTAATGTGGGAGGAAAGCCCGAAGTGATGCAGGTCTCAGACGTTTACCACTTCGGTGAAACCCACGAGCACGGGTATGGTGCTGACAAACCTAGAAACATAATTGGGGCGAACCGGGATTCGAACCAACAATCATAGGTTTCTGGCGTGCCCAAGGGATGCAACTCTGCACAGCGAATCGCGGCGCCTTAGACGACTGGGCCACCCATGCCCCCCACACGTTGGTGATCTTAAATGTAATGACTTATCAGTATATGCAGCACTTCGTCATCTTTTACATACATTGGGCCTCTGGAAGATTCGGGTTAGAGGTGGTCTTCAGCAAACCATGCTTGTCGTAAAAGGCCACTATGCTCGTCGTAGGAGGCGACTAACGGGATCAGGTGGCCAGGCTCGTTGACTTTATTAAAGCATGTCCCAAAAGCGTAGATTGATGCTCATGATGTCAATCACTGGATTGCCTGGTCCATACTCGATTATTTACAGACCGCCATCATATAGCTGGAATATTGCCGAGTGGGACGTTAAACAATAACAAAAAGCAAGCCCTGATTCCACGCACAATAAATATCTCCCTCCTCTAGGACTCGGACATCATAGCAGGCGCGCTGACAGTAACCGCGGACAGAGAAGATGTGGTGGACTTCACCCTCCCCTACTACGACTTCGCGGGTATACAGATCGTCATGAAGAAACAAAATCGAGAAGTCAGCTTGTTTTACTTCGCTGACGTCTTCACCCCTCTGGCCTGGCTGTGTCTGGGCGTGGTCATCGCAGTGACCAGCATCATGCTGCTGCTGTTTGACCGCTACACACCCACGAGGAGCAAGAACGCGACTGTGGAGGGAGTGGTGGCCAACGACAAGGCATTCGACCTGAAAGAGAGCATCTGGTTCGTGATGGGATCCCTTACCATGTCCGGTTAGTTAGTTGTTCGGAATATAATGGTCCTTCCACGTTTTTTTTTCCACGAAAGTACCTCTATTTGAACGGCATTTTTTATTAATATGGCGTTAGCAATTGCTGTGGGAGGAATACCCGAAGTGATGCAATTTTGGACGTTGTTTGATTAAGGACAAACCTAGAAACGTATTCAATGCAAATCGGCTTTCGAGGGCACGATCATATATTTCTGCTACACCCAAGGGACGCAACTCTGTAGAACCATTGATTCCGTCGAGGTATAAAACACGTAATCAGTCACCCATTGTGACCATTCGATCCACATTATTCCAAATTGGCCGTTAACGTAATCTGGTATCACAGATGTGTACCGAGGTACCTTTCATCACCTCGAAATGCGTGTCCCAAAGAGTTTTCCTCCTCTCTAGGGGCAGGTGTTCCTCCTAAAAGTTTCCCCGCGCGCCTCCTGGTGGCCGGATTCTGGTTTTTCTCTGTGATCATGATGTCGACCTTCACCGCCAACCTCGCCGCCTTCCTCACCGTGTCGCGCATGGGCAGTGCCATCAACTCCATGACTGAGCTGGCCTCGCAGTCCGACATCAAGTACTCCGTGGTCGCCGAGTCCTCCGTCATGACCTACTTCAAGCGGATGGCTGCCATTGAGGAGAGCTTCTACACCATCTGGAAGGACATGAGCATGGGCGGTGGGAACAACAGGTAAATATATAACATCAACGTAAGAGAATAACCAGTCTCGATTATCCACCGAAACAAATTCCATTGGGCGTAAAATGCAAAGCAAATCCTCACAAAGGAAAAGACTAAGCACTGGGGTGGGGATATAGAAACGAGCTCCGTCGGTCCATCCGTCACGTTTCGTTTCCGGAGCATAACTCGGAAACCGTTTAATATTTGTTCATGAAACTTTGCAGGTCTGTCAAGTACATGCTGAACTGGTGCTTTTTTGCTATTTAAAAATTTCAGAAAATTTTTTTTTACGTTTCCATGGCAACAAGACGGGCTTAGGTTCCAAACTCTTCTTTTTTTTACAATTTCCATGACAAGTTCCACCTCGGTTACAAAAAGGTTAGGGTTTGTTTATATTTAATTATGTCATAAATTCTGCAACAGGGGCGGGGGATATTTATAGAATAACCCACGAGGTACGAGACAGTTGATTGTTTTTTTTCTTGAAACATGTCTTTAATATGAATATGGGTAATAAATAGAATAACCCACTAAAGCTAAAGCTCGGAACTTAAAACATTAATTTCCCCCGTGACATATTTTCCGTAATCACTCGTACCGAGTGGGTTATTCTATTTATTACCATATTCATATTAAAGACATGTTTCAAGAAAAAAACAATCAACTGCCGCCGATCAAGAATCAGCTGTTTTGTAAAAATAGTTCCGTTGTCCAATGAAAATTGATCTTTGTTCCACTGACCAATCAGCTTCGAGAATCACTAATTATTACCCATATGGGCTCAAATATGCAGTGTAATAACTTTTTGATATTTGCAATTAGTGATTCTCGAAGCTGATTGGTCAGTGGAACAAAGATAAATTTTCATTGGACAACGGAACTATTTTTACAAAACAGCTGATTCTTGATCGGCGGCAGTTGATTGTTTTTTTCTTGAAACATGTCTTTAATATGAATATGGGTAATAAGTATAAAGTGCAAATATCAAAAAGTTATTACACTGCATATTTGAGCCCATATGGTTAATAAAGCCATGTTAGTGGCAAACTCTTGTTCTGTTCTGCTTTGCTCTACAACTATATCGCGGAGGTATCGTCGGCTCATAGGGTTTCGGACGTCATACGCTTTCGGACGTTTATCACGATTACTCGCGCTATAGTTGGGGAGGTGTGGCATCACACAGACATTGTAAATACTCAGATGATGGCCTGTTTTTAGGGAAAGTTGACTTTTATAAGTGAAAGTTTTACAGTTGTTCATATGATTAGATAGAAAACTACGAATGTTTCTTAAGCGTCCGACAACCCATGGCGCGGATATATATGCACCGCCATCAACGTGCATTCTGTGGACGGTGCCGCACAATCGGTTATAACCAACTGATATCACTTTGTGTTGTCTCTTACACACTTGTAGTATTAAGGACCCATTCAGTTCCGGAATACTCTTGTCGGACAAGCGTGGGGTTTCATGGTCAGGTTTCCACACTGATTATAACATCACACTCTATGAATCACTGGTTTCCGTCCCAAGGTGGTTACTCAGACGAGGCTGCCATATTGATAACTCTATTTATTCGCCTTGTTGGCCTGTCCTATCAAGCCCTCAAGTTGTTGGTCTTCATATCTAGGTCTCCACGTTGAAGGTCTTCCCTATCTAGTTCTCCACGTTGTTGGTCTTCCCTATCTAGTTCTACACGTTGTTTGTCTTCCCTATCTAGTTCTACACGTTGTTTGTCTTCCCTATCTAGTTCTACACGTTGTTGGTCTTCCCTATCTAGTTCTCCACGTTGTTGGTCTTCCCTATCTAGTTCTACACGTTGTTGGTCTTCCCTATCTAGTTCTACACGTTGTAGGGCTTCCCTATCTACTTCTACACGTTGTAGGTCTTCCCTTTCTAGTTCTACACGTTGTAGGTCTTCCCTATCTAGTTCTCCACGTTGTACGGCTTCCCTATCTAGTTCTACACGTTGTTGGTCTTCCCTATCTAGTTCTCCACGTTGTTGGTCTTCCCTATCTAGTTCTCCACGTTGTTGGTCTTCCCTATCTAGTTCTCCACGTTGTTGGTCTTCCCTATCTAGTTCTACACGTTGTAGGTCTTCCCTATCTAGTTCAACACGTTGTAGGGCTTCCCTATCTAGTTCTACACGTTGTAGGTCTTCCCTTTCTAGTTCTCCACGTTGAAGGTCTTCCCTATCTAGTTCTCAACGATGTTGGTCTTCCCTATCTAGTTCTACACGTTGTAGGTCTTCCCTATCTAGGTCCCCACGTTGTCGGTCTTCCCTATCTAGTTCTACACGTTGTTGGTCTTCCCTATCTAGTTCTTCACGTTGTAGGTCTTCCCTATCTGGTTCTACACGTTGTTGGTCTTCCCTATCTAGTTCTACACGTTGTTGGTCTTCCCTATCTAGTTCTACACGTTGTAGGTCTTCCCTATCTAGTTCAACACGTTGTAGGGCTTCCCTATCTAGTTCTACACGTTGTAGGTCTTCCCTTTCTAGTTCTCCACGTTGAAGGTCTTCCCTATCTAGTTCTACACGTTGTAGGTCTTCCCTATCTAGGTCCCCACGTTGTTGGTCTTCCCTATCTAGTTCTACACGTTGTTGGTCTTCCCTATCTAGTTCTCCACGTTGAAGGTCTTCCCTATCTAGTTCTCAACGATGTTGGTCTTCCCTATCTAGTTCTACACGTTGTAGGTCTTCCCTATCTAGGTCCCCACGTTGTCGGTCTTCCCTATCTAGTTCTACACGTTGTTGGTCTTCCCTATCTAGTTCTTCACGTTGTAGGTCTTCCCTATCTGGTTCTACACGTTGTTGGTCTTCCCTATCTAGTTCTACACGTTGTTGGTCTTCCCTATCTAGTTCTACACGTTGTAGGTCTTCCCTATCTAGTTCAACACGTTGTAGGGCTTCCCTATCTAGTTCTACACGTTGTAGGTCTTCCCTTTCTAGTTCTCCACGTTGAAGGTCTTCCCTATCTAGTTCTACACGTTGTAGGTCTTCCCTATCTAGGTCCCCACGTTGTTGGTCTTCCCTATCTAGTTCTACACGTTGTTGGTCTTCCCTATCTAGTTCTTCACGTTGTAGGTCTTCCCTATCTTGTTCTACACGTTGTTGGTCTTCCCTATCTAGTTCTACAAGTTGTAGGTCTTCCCTATCTAGTTCTACACGTTGTTTGTCTTCCCTATCTAGTTCTACACGTTGTAGGTCTTCCCTATCTAGTTCTACACGTTGTTGGTCTTCCCTATCTAGTTTTCCACGTTGTAGGTCTTCCTTATCTAGTTCTACACGTTGTAGGCCTTCCCTATCTAGATACCCACGTTGTAGGTCTTCCCTATCTAGTTCTACACGTTGTAGGTCTTCCTTATCTAGTTCTACACGTTGTTGGTCTTCCCTATCTAGTTTTCCACGTTGTAGGTCTTCCTTATCTAGTTCTACACGTTGTAGGCCTTCCCTATCTAGATACCCACGTTGTAGGTCTTCCCTATCTAGTTCTCCACGTTGTAGGTCTTCCCTACCAGTTCTACACGTTGTTGGTCTTCCCTATCTAGTTCTCCACGTTGTAGGTCTTCCCTACCAGTTCTACACGTTGTTGGTCTTCCCTATCTAGTTTTCCACGTTGTAGGGCTTCCCTATCTAGTTCTACACGTTGTAGGGCTTCCCTATCTAGTTCTACACGTTGTAGGTCTTCCCTATCTAGTTCTACACGTTGTAGGTCTTCCCTATGTAGTTCTACACGTTGAAGGTCTTCCTTATCTAGTTCTACACGTTGTTGGTCTTCCCTATCTAGTTCGTCACGTTGTTGGTCTTCCCTATCTAGTTCTCCACGTTGTTGGTCTTCCCTATCTAGTTCTACACGTTGTAGGTCTTCCCTATCTAGTTCTACACGTTGTAGGTCTTCCCTTTCTAGGTCTACACGTTGTAGGTCTTCCCTATCTAGTTCTACACGTTGAAGGTCTTCCCTATCCAGTTCTACACGTTGAAGGTCTTCCCTATCTAGTTCTACACGTTGAAGGTCTTCCCTATCCAGTTCTACACGTTGAAGGTCTTTCTTATCTAGTTCTACACGTTGTAGGTCTTCCCTTTCTAGGTCTACACGTTGTAGATCTTCCCTATCTAGTTCCCAACGTTGTAGGGCTTCCTTATCTAGTTCTACACATTGTAGGTCTTCCCTATGTAGTTCTACACGTTGAAGGTCTTCCTTATCTAGTTCTACACGTTGTTGGTCTTCCCTATCTAGTTCTCCACGTTGTTGGTCTTCCCTATCTAGTTCTCCACGTTGTTGGTCTTCCCTATCTAGTTCTACACGTTGTTGGTCTTCCCTATCTAGTTCTACAAGTTGTAGGTCTTCCCTATCTAGTTCTACACGTTGTTGGTCTTCCCTATCTAGTTCTACACGTTGTTGGTCTTCCCTATCTAGTTCTACACGTTGTTGGTCTTCCCTATCTAGTTCTACACGTTGTAGGCCTTCCCTATCTAGATACCCACGTTGTAGGTCTTCCCTATCTAGTTCTCCACGTTGTAGGTCTTCCCTACCAGTTCTACACGTTGTTGGTCTTCCCTATCTAGTTCTACACGTTGTTGGTCTTCCCTATCTAGTTCTCCACGTTGTTGGTCTTCATATCTAGTTCTACACGTTGAAGGTCGTCCCTATCTGGTTCTACACGTTGTAGGTCTTCCCTTTCTAGTTCTACACGTTGTAGGTCTTCCCTATCTAGTTCTCCACGTTGTTGGTCTTCCCTATCTAGTTCTACACGTTGTTGGTCTTCCCTATCTAGTTCTACACGTTGTAGGTCTTCCCTATCTAGTTCCCAACGTTGTAGGTCTTCCCTATCTAGTTTTCCACGTTGTAGTTCTTCCCTATCTAGTTCTACACGTTGTTGGTCTTCCCTTTCTAGTTCTACACGTTGAAGGTGTTCCCTATCTAGTTCTACACGTTCTAGGTCTTCCCTATCTAGTTTTACACGTTGAAGGCCTTCCCTATCTAGATACCCACGTTGTAGGTCTTCCCTATCTAGTTCTCCACGTTGTAGGTCTTCCCTATCTAGTTCTACACGTTGTTGGTCTTCCCTATCTAGTTCTCCACGTTGTTGGTCTTCATATCTAGTTCTACACGTTGAAGGTCGTCCCTATCTAGTTCTACACGTTGTAGGCCTTCCCTATTTAGATACCCACGTTGTTGGTCTTCCCTATCTAGTTCTACACGTTGAAGGTCTTCCTTATCTAGTTCTACACGTTGTAGGGCTTCCCTATCTAGTTCTACACGTTGTAGGGCTTCCCTATCTAGTTCTACACGTTGTAGGTCTTCCCTATCTAGTTCTACACGTTGTAGGTCTTCCCTATGTAGTTCTACACGTTGAAGGTCTTCCTTATCTAGTTCTACACGTTGTTGGTCTTCCCTATCTAGTTCGTCACGTTGTTGGTCTTCCCTATCTAGTTCTCCACGTTGTTGGTCTTCCCTATCTAGTTCTACACGTTGTAGGTCTTCCCTATCTAGTTCTACACGTTGTAGGTCTTCCCTTTCTAGGTCTACACGTTGTAGGTCTTCCCTATCTAGTTCTACACGTTGAAGGTCTTCCCTATCCAGTTCTACACGTTGAAGGTCTTTCTTATCTAGTTCTACACGTTGTAGGTCTTCCCTTTCTAGGTCTACACGTTGTAGATCTTCCCTATCTAGTTCCCAACGTTGTAGGGCTTCCCTATCTAGTTCTACACATTGTAGGTCTTCCCTATGTAGTTCTACACGTTGAAGGTCTTCCTTATCTAGTTCTACACGTTGTTGGTCTTCCCTATCTAGTTCTCCACGTTGTTGGTCTTCCCTATCTAGTTCTCCACGTTGTTGGTCTTCCCTATCTAGTTCTACACGTTGTTGGTCTTCCCTATCTAGTTCTACAAGTTGTAGGTCTTCCCTATCTAGTTCTACACGTTGTTGGTCTTCCCTATCTAGTTCTACACGTTGTTGGTCTTCCCTATCTAGTTCTACACGTTGTAGGTCTTCCTTATCTAGTTCTACACGTTGTAGGGCTTCCCTATCTAGTTCTACACGTTGTAGGGCTTCCCTATCTAGTTCTACACGTTGTAGGTCTTCCCTATCTAGTTCTACACGTTGTTGGTCTTCATATCTAGTTCTACACGTTGAAGGTCGTCCCTATCTAGTTCTACACGTTGTAGGCCTTCCCTATTTAGATACCCACGTTGTTGGTCTTCCCTATCTAGTTCTACACGTTGAAGGTCTTCCTTATCTAGTTCTACACGTTGTAGGGCTTCCCTATCTAGTTCTACACGTTGTAGGGCTTCCCTATCTAGTTCTACACGTTGTAGGTCTTCCCTATCTAGTTCTACACGTTGTAGGTCTTCCCTATGTAGTTCTACACGTTGAAGGTCTTCCTTATCTAGTTCTACACGTTGTTGGTCTTCCCTATCTAGTTCGTCACGTTGTTGGTCTTCCCTATCTAGTTCTCCACGTTGTTGGTCTTCCCTATCTAGTTCTACACGTTGTAGGTCTTCCCTATCTAGTTCTACACGTTGTAGGTCTTCCCTTTCTAGGTCTACACGTTGTAGGTCTTCCCTATCTAGTTCTACACGTTGAAGGTCTTCCCTATCCAGTTCTACACGTTGAAGGTCTTTCTTATCTAGTTCTACACGTTGTAGGTCTTCCCTTTCTAGGTCTACACGTTGTAGATCTTCCCTATCTAGTTCCCAACGTTGTAGGGCTTCCCTATCTAGTTCTACACATTGTAGGTCTTCCCTATGTAGTTCTACACGTTGAAGGTCTTCCTTATCTAGTTCTACACGTTGTTGGTCTTCCCTATCTAGTTCTCCACGTTGTTGGTCTTCCCTATCTAGTTCTCCACGTTGTTGGTCTTCCCTATCTAGTTCTACACGTTGTTGGTCTTCCCTATCTAGTTCTACACGTTGTAGGTCTTCCCTATCTAGTTCTACACGTTGTTGGTCTTCCCTATCTAGTTCTACACGTTGTTGGTCTTCCCTATCTAGTTCTACACGTTGTAGGTCTTCCTTATCTAGTTCTACACGTTGTAGGGCTTCCCTATCTAGTTCTACACGTTGTAGGGCTTCCCTATCTAGTTCTACACGTTGTAGGTCTTCCCTATCTAGTTCTACACGTTGTAGGGCTTCCCTATCTAGTTCTACACGTTGTAGGTCTTTCCTATGTAGTTCTACACGTTGAAGGTCTTCCTTATCTAGTTCTACACGTTGTTGGTCTTCCCCATCTAGTTCTACACGTTGTTGGTCTTCCCTATCTAGTTCTCCACGTTGTTGGTCTTCCCTATCTAGTTCTACACGTTGTAGGTCTTCCCTATCTAGTTCTACACGTTGTAGGTCTTCCCTATCTAGTTCTACACGTTGAAGGTCTTCCCTATCCAGTTCTACACGTTGAAGGTCTTTCTTATCTAGTTCTACACGTTGTAGGTCTTCCCTTTCTAGGTCTACACGTTGTAGATCTTCCCTATCTAGTTCCCAACGTTGTAGGGCTTCCCTATCTAGTTCTACACATTGTAGGTCTTCCCTATGTAGTTCTACACGTTGAAGGTCTTCCTTATCTAGTTCTACACGTTGTTGGTCTTCCCTATCTAGTTCTCCACGTTGTTGGTCTTCCCTATCTAGTTCTCCACGTTGTTGGTCTTCCCTATCTAGTTCTACACGTTGTTGGTCTTCCCTATCTAGTTCTACACGTTGTAGGTCTTCCCTATCTAGTTCTACACGTTGTTGGTCTTCCCTATCTAGTTCTACACGTTGTTGGTCTTCCCTATCTAGTTCTACACGTTGTAGGTCTTCCTTATCTAGTTCTACACGTTGTAGGGCTTCCCTATCTAGTTCTACACGTTGTAGGGCTTCCCTATCTAGTTCTACACGTTGTAGGTCTTCCCTATCTAGTTCTACACGTTGTAGGGCTTCCCTATCTAGTTCTACACGTTGTATGTCTTTCCTATGTAGTTCTACACGTTGAAGGTCTTCCTTATCTAGTTCTACACGTTGTTGGTCTTCCCCATCTAGTTCTACACGTTGTTGGTCTTCCCTATCTAGTTCTCCACGTTGTTGGTCTTCCCTATCTAGTTCTACACGTTGTAGGTCTTCCCTATCTAGTTCTACACGTTGTAGGTCTTCCCTATCTAGTTCTACACGTTGAAGGTCTTCCTTATCTAGTTCTACACGTTGTAGGTCTTCCCTATCTAGTTCAACACGTTGTACGGCTTCCCTATCTAGTTCTACACGTTGTAGGTCTTCCCTATCTTGTTCTACACGTTGTAGGTCTTCCCTATCTAGTTCTACACGTTGTAGGTTTGTCACATCTCTGTTCTTCTTCCAGTCTGGCAGTCTGGGACTACCCTCTCGGGGATAAGTACGTCAATATTTGGAAAAACATGGAGGACACCGGACTCTTCAACTCTACTGAGCAGGCTGTCAGCAGTGTGTTGGGTGGGGGCGTCGCGTTCATCACAGACTCGCCCATCATCAAATACCTGACGTACAGGAACTGTGATCTCACGGCCATCGGGGACTTGTTCAGCGTCAGGCCCTATGCTTTCGCCCTCAAGGAGAAATCCGTGTACACCAAGAAAATATCGTCAGCGTAAGGACCTTTTCTGAATTTCAACAATGCAAAGTCTTTATATAAAACTGCAAACTAGTAAATCACGTTCTTGAATTTTAATTGGATGTAGAGTTGGCGTCTTCGAAGGGAAATGTTTAGAAAACACCAAAATATAATCCCAGTATCTTGTCGAGCATGTTCCACGCAAGGAAACCATCCTATGACGCACTATAAGGCTGGGTAATTTCAAAATAGACCAAACGCCTACATAATGTGTTATTTCAAAGCTTTTACAAAACGTCAACCAAATAATGTAGATGAATTATCAGAGTAATAGGAGTATATGGTGGCATGAAGCTTGCTCTTCCTATAGGTTTTAACGTTATACTGGTGGTGGAGACATGATGTAGCTGTGTGAGCCAGACTCGGTGTGAATCTCTTCCGACAAAGCCTCCCCCCATCGTCTGGCTCATAAACTAAGGAGCAAAATACTTCTCAGTTGACTTTATCCTTTGTTTCATATTCAATTAAAAAATCTTGTATAAGCTATATATATCCCAAAAATGAACTGTAGTTGCGCTTTGTCAGACCTCAAAGAATACTTCAACATGGTTTTATTTTTAGACATCTATCTTTGAAAATCAATAAATTTGCTTTATTTGGCACACATTTACATATTAAACATGGCAGGGGTCATGTGGTTACAAAATCATTTCTTACCTACTACCCAAAGGCGGAAGAAATAAACAATCTCATTAAAATCAGATCTAAGTTCTCGCTACCGCTAAACAAGATCTGAGAACACCCCATTACGGGTCACGTCAGGCCGACCTTGCGCAAACTTTGACCGACCAATGGAATGACTGACAAGAAGCGACAATAGCCAATCAGAAGGCAGCTTTCTCGTGCTTTACGGCACTAATTTCAAATTGGCGACTACGGTTGGACACATATTTTGACAAATTTGAAACCTGAACAAAAGAACTTTCTGGAATGGCTAATAGATGGTCAAGATTGTATGGATTCAGTGGTTAAACCCGTAACTATCGTTCGGAATACCCCATGTTAAAGTTTTCGAGGTTCAATGATTAGAGTGAGAGAGTTGGGTTTTACGCCGCTTTTAATAGTATTCCAGTTATATCACGGCGTGTCAGCTTAATGTGGGAGGAAAGCCCGAAGTGATGCAGGTCTCAGACGTTAACCACTTCGGTGAAACCCACGAGCACGGGTATGGTTCTGACAAACCTAGAAACATAATCGGGGCGCACCGGGATTCGAACCCACAATCATAGGTTTCTGGCGTGCCCAAGGGACGCAACTCTGCACAGCGAATCGCGGCGCCTTAGACGACTGGGCTACCCGTGCCCCCTGGATGATTAGAAATCACATTCCGACTGTCACTTTCATGATCTGGTAAGCGACGCTCTGATTGGTCGGATGAAAGGTCGTTCTGACGTGACCCCCAACTGGATGTCCTCAGATCTTTGTTTAGCGATAGCGAGAACTAAGATCTGATTTTAATGAGATTGATATTTATGTTTGCATATTATTCATCCTACCCAACTGAAAAATTGGCTCATACTGTATTGTTCTCCGTGAAATACGAACTGCTAGGTAGCTGACATACAGTTCTTCTATGCAGCATCCTTGAGCTCCAGAAGAAGCGTCAGCTGGAGGCGTTCAAGAGACGCTGGTGGGACGAGGGCAAACTGAACTGTCCTGAGAGCTCCACCGACCAGGGCCTTGACCTAAAATCTCTCACTGGAAGCTTCATTGTGGTGGCTGTGGGGATATTGTCTGGGTTGCTCGTCCTGTCACTTGAGCACTTTTGGAATAGGGTTTTAAAGAGGAAGGTAAGTGTTTCGGCCTCTAGGACTTAATGTTCCAAACTCTTTGTATTTAGGATTTCGTGGGTATGGTTTTACGCTGCTTTTAACAGAATGTCTGTGCTGCCCACTTCAACAAATCTGTTTCCCTAATTTTTCAGCAGTCTCCTATCACACAGGTGAAACCGACTGCCAGCAGTGGAAGCAAGTCATCCCTGGGACTACCTGGCTCCGGCAACATGCAGGTGACTGTCCTAGGGGCAACGATCCTGAGAGACGAGCTGCACAGCAAGCCGGACAGCTAGACGCCGTTCCTGACTACTCCAGTTGTAGGCTAAAACAGCTAGGCTGTAGTTTGGAGCTCACAGAGCTGGATGCTGAGTCTGACTACTCCAGTTGTAGGCTAACACAGCTAGGCTCCGAGCTCACTACTGCAGCTCACACAACTAGATGCTGAGTCTCACTTCTACAGTTTGGAGCTCACACAACTAGATGCTGAGTCTGACTACTGCAGTTTGGAGCTCACAAAGCTAGATGCTGAGTCTCACTTTAGCAGTTTGGAGCTCACACAACTAGATGCTGAGTCTGACTACTGCAGTTTGGAGCTCACAAAGCTAGATGCTGAGTCTCACTTCTACAGTTTGGAGCTCACACAGCTAGATGCTGAGTCTGACTACTGCAGTTTGGAGCTCACACAGCTAGATGCTGAGTCTGACTACTGCAGATTTGAGCTCACACAGCTAGATGCTGAGTCTCACTTTAGCAGTTTGGAGCTCACACAGCCAGGTGCTGAGTCTCACTTTAGCAGTTTGGAGCTCACACAGCTAGATGCTGGGTCTCACTTCTACAGTTTGGAGCTCACACAGCTAGATGCTGAGTCTCACTTCTACAGTTTGGAGCTCACAAAGCTAGATGCTGAGTCCGACTACTGAAGTTTGGAGCTCACACAGCTAGATGCTGAGTCTCACTTCTACAGTTTGGAGCTCACACAACTAGATGCTGAGTCCGACTACTGAAGTTTGGAGCTCACACAGCCAGGTGCTGAGTCTGACTACTGCAGATTTGAGCTCACACAGCTAGATGCTGAGTCTCACTTCTACAGTTTGGAGCTCACACAGCTAGATGCTGAGTCTGACTACTGGAGTTTAGAGCTCACACAGCTAGATGCTGAGTCTCACTTCTACAGTTTGGAGCTCACACAGCTAGATGCCGAGTCTGACTACTGCAGTTTGGAGCTCACACAGCTAGATGCTGAGTCTCACTTCTACAGTTTGGAGCTCACACAGCTAGATGCTGAGTCTGACTACTGCAGTTTAGAGCTCACACAGCTAGATGCCGAGTCTGACTACTGCAGTTTGGAGCTCACACAGCTAGATGCTGAGTCTCACTTCTACAGTTTGGAGCTCACATAGCTAGATGCCGAGTCAGACTACTGCAGTTTGGAGCTCACACAGCTAGATGCTGAGTCTCACTTCTTAAGTGGGGAGCTCACACAGCTAGATGCTGAGTCTGACTACTGCAGTTTGGAGCTCACACAGCTAGATGCTGAATCTCACTTCTACAGTGGGGAGCTCACACAGCTAGATGCCGAGTCTGACTAGAGTTTAGAGCTCACACAGCTAGATGCTGAATCTCACTTCTACAGTGGGGAGCTCACACAGCTAGATGCTGAGTCTGACTACTGGAGTTTAGAGCTCACACAGCTAGATGCTGAGTCTCACTTCTAAAGTGGGGAGCTCACAAAGCTAGATGCTGAGTCTGACTACTGCAGTTTGGAGCTCACACAGCTAGATGCTGAATCTCACTTCTACAGTGGGGAGCTCACACAGCTAGATGCCGAGTCTGACTACTGCAGATAACGAGGAGCAGAACCGATATGATTTCGATTCTCATGAATAGGGTATGCACTTCAGAGCACTTGTATTCCTTCTCAATATGGTCAATATATTCTGCATTATTTCAGCCATGAAGAATATGTAAATGAATGATTTAACAGCTGTGTCAGTATTCACATGACTGATTTAATTAGGACGGGTAGACAGATGTCATGGTCAGTGAAATGTGTTCTTCTGCTTCTTGTATGCCAAATGGTTACTAACAGAACCATACCCATGACATATTCGCACTATGCAAATGCTCAATCCACATTCCCATTTTGCAGTATATGTGATGCACCTTTTATGATTCTTCTTATCTTAATGAAAGGCGACTAACGGGATCGGGTGGTCAGGCTCGCTGACTTGGTTGATACATGCCATCGATCCCAATTGCGTGGATCGATGCTCATGATAGCAATCACTGGATTGTCTGGCCCAGACTCGATTATTTACAGACCGCCGTCATATAGCTGGAATATTGCTGAGTGCGGGGTTAAACAAAAACCAACCAAAAATCTTATCTAAATATGTTGTTCATCATGCTAACAATCTGATAATGGTGGCGGTGTGTTCGAGGTCATCGTCAAATGACGTTTGTGAAGTCAAGTGAAACTGTTATGGTAGGTTCTCGATTGGGGTTTCAAGATAGTGAATTTTAATGTCAGAGCCTTAGAGGTTTTCATACTGTCTTACACGAATAAAACAAAACGCCAGAAGCAACTAGTTCAAATAACATTCTCTTATGCCAAATGAGGAACCCACTAGCATATTGGAGGAACAGAGATCCACGTCATCGTGTTTGCAAACAGGCAAGTCATATCCCATCCATCATCAGCGGTCATTTTGTCCACCGGATATACACCTCGTCAAAAGTATCGCACCACCAAGATTTTGTTTATAATCAGAAAAAGAGATGGGTGAGAGGAAGCCGTTGAATGTGAAAAAAGTGTTAGTGTCAAATTAGATATTATTTTTATGAATAATAGGAAAAATGTGCACTAGCTAAGAAGAAAGCAACATCATTCGGCAGTGACTACAAGGACTGCAATTAATATATTGCAGTATAAGTAAAAGCAGTATAAGTATGGTAACTGTCAATATCTGGTGTTGCCATCCTGCACCCAGATCACGTCTACTCACGCTTAAAATCAGACGCCTGATCCTCAACTGAGGGATGTGTTGCCATTCCTAATGCAATGCCTGGGTCAGTTCTTGGGAGATTCTGTACTGGAGAGTCCCTGGCTCTAAACCCTACGTCACAACTGATCCCATAGATGCTTGATTGGATTCAGGTCTGGGCTTAGAGAAGGCCAAGGCAGACTCTCAATGGCGTCGTTCTGGAGGTCAATCGAAACTCTTGGTGTTGGTGTCGGACAGGACGTGTGACAAGTGCATGGTTATCAAAATGAGGTACAACAAACCCGTCCAATGTGTTATCTTGGTACCTTTGTTCATTTAATGTCCCCAGAACTGTGACCAAATCAAGTTTATAATCAAAGGAGCAACATCCCCATACCATCACTGAGCCGCCAACAGTTTCCTGGATGTTGGATGACAACATGTTCCCCCAATTGCCTCCAGACAAGAGTTCAACATCAGTGTAGTGAAAAAAAAGAATCTCGGCTGCCCAATGAATCCTCCTCTGTAAGCTTAAGTTCCAGTGTGCTCGAATCTGACACCAGGCTAAATGGTACCGCGTGAGTTGGGGACAGAGGATTGGACGTCTTATTGGTCCTCTGGCACTGAATCCTGCTGCATTCCATCGACGCCTGATGGTGCCAGTGATGACGAAGAACAGTGCAAGCTGAAGGTGGCAGCCGTTTTGCCTTCTGGCGTACAGGGACCCTGTCCTCTCTGGCACTGGTCTTCCGACGTCCTGATCTCGGCAAGTCCCTCACATGTCCAGTCAATGTCTGTTTTTCAATGAATCGACTGATTACAGTATAATTAATGTTCAACGCGGTCCCATAGCCTGACATGACATGCCAGTCTTGGTGCATGCAAATTATTTGCCACCTTTGATTTTCTGGGATAGTAAACTTGGGCATTTCAGTTACAATTGTTCGAATTTCTAATTGGTAGAACTTTCATAAAACATAATAGCAGTAAACACTCATGAACTGTGTCATAAAAATTGAAGTTTCTAGAAGACATCTTCGGCGTGCATACAGCTTGCATAAATGCGCCAAGGTTGGGCAGTTACAATGACAAGCATTCCACAGGTATATGATGTGTCCACACACTGTACTATTCGAAAATCTCTACATTGAAAATGTGCTGGCAATTACACTTCAAATGCAATACTTTTGACGAGGTGTATACATATCTTAATTGTCTTCTAACAGGTCATGGTCTAGTGGTAGAGCGTCCGCCCGGAGAGCGGAAGGTCCGGGGTTCGATCCCCAGCAGCGTCATACCAAAAGATGGTACTTGTTGTTACCTTGTCTGGCGCTCGGCATTAAGGGGCTAAAACAAGGACTGGTCGGCTCGGAGTCAGTATACTGTGTCTGAGTTGGGTATTCATGTTAAACTGCGGCATGGTACCTCAGTGAACTAGCACTATAAATCGGCATCAGTCCGGACTCGTACAAGCAGACACAGACACACACACACACACGTGCATGCATGTCGCTATATAAGTGCAATAATCTTGGACGCGACTTTAAACCCAATTTCACCTCACCTCACCTCACCCACCTCTAACAGGACGAAGTCCCATGGACCTTGGTCAGTCAGATTAGATCATGACTCCTCCCTCAGTGAGGACCATTGAGGGCAAGACGCAAAATAATTCATTTCTAAAAAAATCAACTTGTGCAATGATTGTCCATATAAATTGTGTACACACAGTTTTATTTCTGCTTCCAAGTTAATTGTTCACAAACGTCTTTTTTATTGATGTAAATAAATCACTATTACATATCCTCAGTGCCCATGTACTATGTTTCAGTTCCATTCAACATGTGATCAATGGACACAAGCTTGGGAATATATCTACCTTTATTTGGAATAGTCAACATGACAAGTACATAACAGGGATACTGGGCACATGTGAGCTGGAGACACCACACGTGACTTACACAAGACACATACCCACAACTCAAAACGATATGCTTTACTTCAACACATACGACCAGAGAAGATAAGACGGCAAAATAAAACTGATCATTAGATACTTGAAGATCCTTGGGTGACAATCACATGCAAGGTTCTCGGATATATCTTCTTGTATACAAACATACATGAACTATGGGACAGGAGTTGAGACTTTTACCTTCATGAGAGAGTATGGTTTTTGGCCGCTTTTAGCAATATTCCAGCAATATCATGGCAGGGGACACCAGAAATGGGTTCACACCTTGGTTACCTTCATGATATCCACAGCAACAGAGTGAGTTGTGTTTAACGTAGGTTTTATCAGTATTCCAGTCTTAGCACGTATTACCTTCATATCCACAGCAACAGAGTGAGTTGTGTTTAACGCAGGTTTTATCAGTATTCCAGTCTTAGCACGTATTACCTTCATATCCACAGCAACAGTGAGTTGTGTTTAACGTAGGTTTTATCAGTATTCCAGTCTTAGCACGTATTACCTTCATATCCACAGCAACAGAGTGAGTTGTGTTTAACGCAGGTTTTATCAGTATTCCAGTCTTAGCACGTATTACCTTCATATCCACAGCAACGGAGTGAGTTGTGTTTAACGTAGGTTTTATCAGTATTCCAGTCTTAGCACGTATTACCTTCATATCCACAGCAACGGAGCGAGTTGTGTTTAACGCAGGTTTTATCAGTATTCCAGTCTTAGCACGTATTACCTTCATATCCACAGCAACAGTGAGTTGTGTTTAACGTAGGTTTTATCAGTATTCCAGTCTTAGCACGTATTACCTTCATATCCACAGCAACAGAGTGAGTTGTGTTTAACGTAGGTTTTATCAGTATTCCAGTCTTATCACGTATTACCTTCATATCCACAGCAACAGAGTGAGTTGTGTTTAACGCAGGTTTTATCAGTATTCCAGTCTTAGCACGTATTACCTTCATATCCACAGCAACAGAATGAGTTGTGTTTAACGCAGGTTTTATCAGTATTCCAGTCTTAGCACGTATTACCTTCATATCCACAGCAACAGAATGAGTTGAGTTTAACGCAGGTTTTATCAGTATTCCAGTCTTAGCACGTATTACCTTCATATCCACAGCAACAGAGTGAGTTGTGTTTAACGTAGGTTTTATCAGTATTCCAGTCTTAGCACGTATTACCTTCATATCCACAGCAACAGAATGAGTTGTGTTTAACGTAGGTTTTATCAGTATTCCAGTCTTAGCACGTATCACAAGAAAAGAAACAAATCTAAGGTTGGCTTCAAACTACTTCCTGATGTAAAACTGATGAAGAAAATATGAAAAGAACACACTGAGAATCACTGTTACTTAACACAGCTTTAGCTATGCCCAAGTCAGAGGTTGGGGTGAGTACTGACTCGTCTAATACAGAACTTGAGATAAGGAGTGAGCTTTATCAAACTGTAGACAAGCTAAGCATGAGTGATTCATAAGGCTGCCTTATTACTTCAGATATATCAGAGAGCTCAGATTAATCAGTTTGGTTTGGTTTGATTGTTGTTTTACGCTGCACTCAGCATTATTCCAGCTATATGATGGCGGTCTGTAAATAATCGTATGGACTAGACAATTCAGTGATTGATATCATGAGCATCGATCCACGCAATTGAAATCGATAACATGAATCGACCAAGTCAACAAGCTTGATCACCCGATCCCGTTAATCTTACGACAAGCATAGTCGCCTTTATGGCAAGCATGGGCTGCTGAAGACCTATTCTACCCCATACCTTCACAGGTTGATTAATTAGTGAGCATAAATGCTAATTACTTCACAAGAGAACTGTTTTATTAACCTCAGTACAAGCACAAGTATCCAGGGATAATATACTCGCCGCCAAAAGAAACGCAAACCCTAGAAACATATAGAGAAGTATATACGTTAAGAGATGTTTCCAATGTGTACCACTTAATGACACAACTAACAATCTGTCAAGTATTACCACTGTGTCTGTATTCTTATCACATATACTGCACATGATTTCAAACTTTACACGCTAGTTCTGCACGAGACAAATGGTGCATTTCAAGTTATGGTTCCATGCGATCATGAGTGTTGGTTCACACAACATAACAGTATGTTCGTTTGTGCACCAAACCAATCTAAAATCTAAATTCTTCATATATTAACCAACATGTATGGTACTCCTGTTTCTTTTGTTGGTGAGTACATAAAGCTTAGGCAAAGACAAACTACATGCCAATATCAAAAGCCACTCCATCTCCCACATTTAGCATGCCACAATAACCTAAGGTGTGTGTTGACCAAACTCTGCCTGATCTCAAGTTTCCTTTTTGAGTTATATTTCATAAACCTATTTCAAAAGTCATTTCATAAACCAAGTTTTCCCATCAATGAAAGTCAACATTTGCAAGAAAGCTTGCCTTAAAACATCTTTCTGAGCAAGAGAGTTACCTGACTATAATTCATAAAGTCCAGTTTCCACCCTTGCCGAACTAGGCTGGAATTCCTAAGCTCGTTCGTAGCGCCACCAGTGGCTATTACGAGTTATGACCCTTCTATGTCCCTCCTATTGACCGATCAGATTCCACCTCTCATATCACTTGCATTTGCTTCAAACAAAATGGCGACGCGCAGTGAAGATGATCTGATCGATACTCAAGATACTTCAAGTCCTCAAGATACCTCAAGTCTTACTTCACAAAGTGCATCAAATCACATGAGCACCTTAATAATGCATGAGCACCTTGATAAAAAAACCTGAAAAGATTTGGAATATGTTTATGCTAAATTGACGGTACACATGCTTTGCAAATCCTTCAATCTATAATTCCAGCCTAGGTCAGCAAGGGAGGAAAGTGGACTTTTATAGTCAGGTAATTCCCTTGCCTCAGGAAGATGGCCTTGAAGCAACCATGGTTGAAATCCAACAAACACATTAAGCAACCTGTTTGAGTTGCTGCATTTGAGGTTCACGAGGACATTAACACATTTTCCAAGTTACAACTAGCTGCAACCTTCTTGTGGCTGGCACTTGGTGAGTTTGTTGAATATAGAGGTTGACTCAGACAAAGCTATTGGTAGTTTGGACTTCAATTTTAAAATCAAGTTTTGAGTTTTATCGAAGTAACTGATGTAACTATGTAGGGAAAGACAGGTGGACAGCCTACCCTCTCCCTCAGGATTAGAAAACTGAATTTTTTTCAAAATGCTCTGCCTCCAAACAAGATAGATCAGGCACTGATCAACTGGATCACACACCATAAACTCATCTCAAACTGAATATTTACAAATATTTGTCACCTGACTGTATTTTGCTGATAAAACACGAGGACTGAAGCCAGCAATGTAAGTTTACCCTATACAAGTATGACTGTATTGTGCTCATAAGTTTCCCAAACTGTACACAGTGTATAGAAAGTGTATGACAGATTCCTAATGAATGGAAAGTAAAAACATTGTTCACAGTCAAAAGAAACAATAAAAAAGAAAATCCAAATAATGACATGAAAATCCAACAAAGAAAGCGATATGGAAAAAAGCTGACAAGCTTTACTGGGTCCAAGAAATATTGAAAACACAAAAGGTGAGAAATGTATATATCTTGTCATTGTGTTCCATGTGTAATCAGTGATTGTGCAAAATACATACAGTATGTGCCTGTATTTACACACAGGAAGGATATCTGCTGATCTGTTTCTGTAGTTAAAATATCTGAATGATTTAATCAATGTGCATTCTATTGGTTAGATGCACTTGTATAACAAATGTACCAAATTCACACCTTACTATAGAGTGAGTGAGTGAGAATGTTTTTTACGCCCCTTTTAGCAATATTCTAGCAATATCACTAGACACTAGAAATGGTCTTCACACATTGTACCCATGTGGGAAATCGAACCCAGGCCTTAGGTGTGATGTGCAAACACTTTAACCACTGGGCTACGCCTCTACCCCTTTACTACAGAGACAAACGGGGGAGCAAATAAGGTAAATCCCATCATGAAGGCCTGAGTTCTGTCTCATTGAGGCATCTGTTTATGAGTTCGATGATTGCGGGTTGTACGTCTAATGTTTTAAGTGCAGGGGATTCGGTGTTATCAAATAAAGTTATCGGAGGATTTGAATGGATTTACAGGTGAATGGTGAGATTTTGTCTTGTACTGCAGGAACACGTACCCAAGTTGGTTCTGTTCTCTTGGTTGGTAGTAAAATGTCGGCCTCTGTCGGGCTCAGAATCCAGGATGTCTGAGGCTAAAGTGATTGTTTGGATTGCAAGTTGGATTGAAAGAATGTTTACATCGGGGGACACCAGAAATGGGCTTCACATATTGTACCCATGTCGGGAATCGAACCCGGGTCTTCGGTGTGACGAGCTAACGCTTTAACCACTAGGCTACCCGACCGCCCCCATGTCAGAATGATGAGATCTGATTGCTCCATATGATCTTGATAAAATACTGTGTAGCCAGAGGCTTGTGGTATAAAATCTAACGTTGGATGCATAAACCCCATGTACCCTGAGTGATCCTGCTACAGCTTACGATGCTGTACAACATCCCAACTGACAATAGCTGATGAAGAGTGAATACAAAAAACATACCGGCAGACAAGCAGGAATAGAAACAAATTCACAATCACTACACAATATTCATATCTGATCAGTAAACAAACAAAATGTCCCATCCCAAACAACCGACATTACTTGGTAAAGTTCTATCACCTTCTAATAGATACAGTAGTGAGTGACTGAGTGGGTTGGCTTTAGCGCCACTTTGAACACTTTTCCAGTTATGACAGCATATTAGTTTAATGTGGGAGGAAAAGCCGTAGTGATGCAGGTCTCAGAAATTTACCACTGGTGAAACCCACGAGCACGGTGCTGACAAACTTAGAAACAAAATTGGGGCAAACTGGAATTCAAAGTCAAGATCAAGGTCTCTGGCATGCCCAAGAGATGAATCTCTGCACAGTGAATTGGAGACCTTGGGTGACCGGTCACCCATGCCACCCTAGTGAGTGAGTAGGTGAGTTGGGTTTAACGCCGCTTTTAACAGTATTCCAGTTATATCGCGGCGTGTCAGCTTAATGTGGGAGGAAAGCCCGAAGTGATGCAGGTCTCAGACGTTTACCACTTCGGTGAAACCCACCAGCACGGGTATGGTGCTGACAAACCTAGAAACATAATTGGGGCGAACCGGGATTCGAACCCACAATCATAGGTTTCTGGCGTGCCCAAGGGACGCAACACTGCACAGCGAATCGCGGCGCCTTAGACGACTATGCCACTCTAACAGGTACAGATATAATGTCCTACTGACTCACTATCACGGGTGGATCATCTATCACAAAACATTATACAGTAGGAGATGACACAAGTGTCAGATAGAAAAATAGTTCCTGATTGTAAGGCCCACTTATGTATGTGGATAGACGAAGTCCAACAGAAAGAAAGTCATAACGAGAAAATAGAGACAATTAACAAAGTATCAAATGTGAAATGTCAGTGTCACTGAATACGTGTGATACTTGAAAACAAGTCATTCATCACAAAATATATAGGTACAAACACATTTATCAATTGAAAATGTACTTCTACCTGACTAATGTTTGACTTAAATGATAAAAAGGTATGCTATGTATGACTTGTTATCTTCATACAAAATCTGAAACATATGGTGAAACTTCATACTTAAATACAAGAACAGGGAACATTCTTCATAATTGTTGTAACCATGGTAACATAGCACTCTCAGACATGATGGGGCCTCCTTGGGTTTTTTCTGCAACAGCATCCAAGGCAAGGGGTGATCTACATATTTTGATTTTTGATATCAGTTTCATGACAAGGGCCTCTACATTTTCATTTTAAATTTCGAAAACAGTTATCATTCGGAAACTGATAGGGCTTTTCATTCAGGTTTAAACACAAACTGAACAGGAACATATCGGGAGTTGAACACACAGGGGATGTCACTCTGATGAGACATGAAACCATCTAGGCGACCTTCACCTCTGAAGGACACAGACAGGTCAGAAGGAGATCCTGAATGAGTAAATTTCCTCACATGCTTGCATAATTAATCATCTACACCAATATTTCGGAAGAGGTAGGACATGGACTCTCGATGGTGAATTCTGCGGATGGCTTCCACCAACATGACGCTGACATCCACTGTCTTGATTTTGTGGCACTGCATCTTCTGAGCTTCGTGGGGTACAGTATTTGTCACAACCACCTGTGCAGAAAAACAATATCATTAGTAACTGTTGGGCATGGTTATAATGTCAGGGTGCAAGGTTGCTGGCTTCATAACCAATATCATTGATTATACCGCATATCACCGTCTATAAAGCGACCCCACCTTTGAGGCAACCCCCCTGTACAAGCCTTCAAAATCAATACTAATTTATATTCCCCGTCTATAAAGCGAATCAGAATGAAGCACATCACCAGCACATACACAATCACTAAATTTGCAACAAAAACATGTTTGTCTTCCGCAGAAAAAATTACATTGTATCCCGAATTCAGGGAAATGAACGTGATAATAATTAAACTTGGTCAATACAAATTTGAAAGCCCCCTACTCTAGGTACGAAAAAACTCGCCTTATACACAGCGATATATATGGCAGGTAATATGCGTCATGAAATTAATGTGAGTAGCCCTGATTGAAACATAAAGATTGATCAGTAAACAAATAACACAAAGACTGCAGACTGTTAGTATTCCATGAACAATATGCATGGTATGGGGTGATCGTATTTCGATTGTGTGATATCATCTGCTTCATTCACAAACTTAACCTCAGCTACTTGACATTTGATCTAATGTCCATGAAATCCAAAGCAGATTCCAAATAACGCATTTTCAAATCTGACAGGACAGGTCAGCGACGAAGATTGTACAGGTTCCAAGTCTTGTTACAAGATTTACTGCAATCCTTTGAATGTATATGAGAAGTGTAATTTTTGCTACGACTGTTGTTGCTATACAGGACACATTCCGAGGTGGTTTCTTGGTAATTATAAGAATATTGACAAAAACAAAGACGCCATAAGGCTAAAAAAAATAATAGTCTTGGTTCTCAGGCACTGCCAGCATCATCATAAAGTCTGCTGCACATTTTGCTTTTATTTCCATTTTAAAAAATAATAATAAAAAATCCTAATACTTAAAAACAATGCAATCCAATATAGCACACAGTTACTTCCCTTTACATGTGCACTGTTTTACTGTGTATCTCGTGTTATGGTCATGGGGGCAATAGGAGTTTGTATGCTTGTTTATGTAGGAAGGCCCTTTCACAGGTTGATGGTACACAACTGTTTATTTGGTTACATACTGGTTTGAACAATGCAAAAAGAAAAACAACAACCCAAAACACTGCCTGAGAACCAATTCTTTTATTTCTTCAAGCCTAATACACAGTAATTGTTGGACACCGTCATAACTACTTGATGAACCTGTGTGAACAAACTGGCAGAACTTTACGCAGAACTTCCCACAAAAATATGTTTTTGACACTCAGAGCATGCATCGAACCCTTCATATAACATCTCTCTTGAACATAAAAGTGTTGAGATATAATGACTTACCTCATCAATGCAAGAGTCTTCAATGAGTCTTGGTGCATCTGAAGACAGGAGGCCATGGGTGGCCATGACATACACCTTGTAAGCTCCTCGTTCCTTGAGAGCCTCTGCTGTCTTCACAAACAACAACACGTCATCTACCATGTCATCCTGCAAATCATAACCATAAGTCAGACTGGTCAGTAGCTGAGTTGTCTCCCCTACACATGCTACCAAGCTCCTGTCCAGCGTGTGATGCCTTCGTTACCCTCCCAGTATCGTCGCTGCTATGAGTGTGGAAGAGTATCGTCGCTGCTATGAGTGTGGAAGCAGCCATTACATGAATCTTTAAATTGTATTCATTTGGGAATTCAATCTCAATAAAATTAGATCTTATTTCTCGCTACCGCTAAACAAAGATCTGAGGACATCACAGTAGGGGTCACGTCAGTACGACCTTTCATCCGACCAATCTTAGCGTTGCTTACCAGATCATGAAAGTGACAGTCGGAATGGGATTTCTAATCATGCATCCTTGAAAACCTTTTACACGGGGTATTCCGAACGATAGTTACAGGGTTAACGACTGAATCCATAAAATCTAGACCACCTTTTAGCCATTCCAGAATGTTTTTTTGTTCAGGTTTCAAATTTTTAATCAAGAATTTGTCAAAATATATTTTGAAGCGAAGTCGCCAATTTGAAATTAGTGCCATAAAGCACGAGTAAGCTGCCTTCTGATTGGCTAATGTCGACTTCTTGTCAGTCATTCCATTCATCGATCAAAGTTCGCGCAAGGTTGGTCTGACATGACCCGTAATGGGATGTCCTCAGACCTTTGTTTATCGGTAGCGAGAACTAAGATCTGATTTTCATGAGATTGTTTGGGAATTTGGCACAGTGACGCCAGGACTTCCATAAATTTCAAACATAACAATATGGCAGTGGCAGAGTTGTCTCCCCGATACCATCTTTCAGAGGCAAGAGTGTCCACTAGCCTATATCAAAGTCTTGTTTCTACCCTTGTCACATCAAGGCCACTTTTCTTGGCTTGACCCTGGCTTCACCTTGCGTAGATAATGGGTTGTGCCCCTTGTAATGGAAACGCGATATCCAATCAGATCACTGTTCTCGTATAGCTTCACAAAGGTGGCGACTACCATAGGCGACGACCTTGTTTATCAGATAACAAAAATATTCCAGATTTCATTTCTGACTCAAAAACATAGGCTATCGTTGGGGTGTTTAAAAGATGAAAAAGACACATTCATGTCAACAAGGACAGACAGCAGTAAATCACTTTCATACGGAGGTGTACAGCCATGGATGTGAATTTTGTGAAACGTTCTCTGATTGGACTATTGATATTGCGATAGTCCAATCATATTTAGCTTGATGTGGCAATGGTGGAAACAAGACTTTAATAAACAGGCTAGTGGACGCTCTTGCCTCGGGAAGATGCCCCTATACATAACACAGAATCTTCCTGCAGATGACATAACCCCACGTCAGCAACAGAGTTGTCTCCCCTACAATAACGCCCATTCTTATATTTTTCTCAATAGCAAAACATTTGATTAAAAGAGTGGGTTACAAATATAACACAACATGTGAATTTGCAGGTACGATTCTCGTCATGGAATTTGAATGCTAAAAACAATTGTGACTTTTAACCAATCAAAAACCAACATTCTTTTCAGGTCTTTGAAAGGCATTTGGAAATGATACACATAAGGAAGAGAATGAATGATTCACCTGATGAAGGAGTAAGCATATACTCCAAAAAGTTGTGTTCCTCATAATATAGAAGTTGACATCCATAAATTCTCTTCCCAAAATTATATTTCTATCAAAAGGCCAGTTTATAAATTGTGAATTACTAACCTAGGTTTTTACAATTCAAATGCAAAACCTCAAAGCAGATTTATAAATCTTCAATTGCAAAACCTAGGTCTTACAATTCAAATGCAAAACATCAAAGCAGATTTATAAATCTTCAACTGTAAAACCTAGATCTTACAATCCAAATGCAAAACCTCTGAACACGTCTCACTTGAAAGCAGTACCTCTCACAAGGTCACTATGAGATAGGAGATACCTACAACACTATAGGCAAAAGTAAGTTAATAAAAGCGATACAATTAAAGGCATTTGGTTTGGAATAAATAAGATCTTCCACCTACAAGATAATGTCTTAACCGAAATGCCAGTCTCACCACAATAATGGCTATCCTGCCTCCAACGTCTCCCACCACATTCAGGGGCGGTTTCTCTTTGGCCAGTATTGCTGGAAGACAGAATTAGATAAGTTGACATGACATCCACAGCCACATAGTTCAATGTTGTTGTGAGCCGCATAATTCCAACTCAGATCTGCAGGCCTCAATATTGTGAATAATTTGGTAGCCATGGCGATTCAGTTTTGCACTTTGTGACCAATATGTATATGTGTCAGTCACCTGGTGGCGCCTTGTCTAAAACTGACTTTGGCAACTACGTTTCCGTCAAGAACAAAAATGCGAGTAAAAAATATAGCATGTTTTAGACCTCGTCATTCTTGCTAAGAATATATATTATGCTGGTGAATCTGAACTTTTCCCTTCCTAGTTACAGCTAATGAAAGCTCCAAACACAGATATATGGAAGCACTTATTCACTATTTACTATGGTTGTGTGCTCCAGTGTGGCGAAGAGTTTAGTTACAATGCATGCCTGTTGGTTGCCATCAAGAAAAACGGTTGCCAAAAAATTGAAACCAAATTATTTTACCATCTCAACAAAGGCACAGACTACAACAAGGTAGTAATTTCATGAAGAGGATAATAATCTTAACAATTGCTATCCTGCAAAGAAGAGTGCTTTGAGTGAGTGAGTTGGGTTTAACGCCGCTTTCAATAGTATTAGAGTTATATTGAGGCGTGTCAGCTTAATGTGGGAGGAAAGCCCAAAGTGATGCAGGTCTCAGACGTTTACCACTTTGGTGAAACCCACATGGGTATGGTGCTGACACACCTAGAAACATAATCGTGGCGAACAGGGATTCGAACCCACAATCATAGGTTTCTGGCGTGCCCAAGGGATGCAACTCTGCACAGCGAATCGAAGTGCCATAGAAGACTGGGCCACCCGTGCCCCCTATTTTTTATATAACTGGTGTCTGATGACTTATAACAAAATAAAACTTTATTTGTTTTAACTAATACCTGTTGTTTTATCACTTTCTGAAGTCAAATAACACATTCGAAAGTATATGTCATTTTAGGCTCCCTACAGTAGGCTGGCTTCTTGAAATTCTAACGTGGGTAAAACGTTTACTTTTAGACCTGGACCTAACAATCAAGCCTAAAGTTCCCATTTCATTTCACATGAGGGAAGGTTGTATTGCCGGGGTTTACTTGGTAGAGTCTCTATCCCAAACTCATGGTTCCTTGGGAGTTGTTCCTCCTCGGGCAGAGGAGGGGGAGAGTTCCTCCCATCACATCCCAACTCCTCTATCTTCTCCTCGCCGTGGATGACGGCAATACTGAGTCGCAGCCGCTCTGCGTATGAGGATGCTCGCTTCACAGAGTTGGGGTTCCGGGCAACTATTACAGCATTTCTGTAGTCAGGAATCTGTCAACCCAGGAAAGAGGACAAGCTACCCTGGTATCTATATTTCTAGAAAATCAGTATTGTCTTAGTTTGTTTGATGTTGCACTCAGCAGTATTCCAGGTATGCGACGGCAGTCTGTATGTAATCGAATCAAGTGATTGATATCATGAGCATTGATCCATGCAATTGGGAAACGATGATCTGCATCAACCAAGTCAGCGAACCTGACCACCCGACCCCGATATTGTGAGTAATGAGAGCTTAGTTCTTGCTACCGCTAAACAAAGATCTGATGAGAACCCATTATGGTGAACGTCAGAACGATTTTTCATCAGACCAATCAGAACGTCACTTACCAGATCGGGAAAGTGACAGTTGGACTGTGTTTTCTAATCAAGCAACTTTGACAAAGATTACAGAAGGTATTCCGAACGACAAAACTTTATGAGCTGTACGACTGATTCCGACAAAATCATATTCCATCTGGCTTTTCAATGGGATAAACATTTGAAACAGAAGAGACTTTCCATAGCCCCTGGGCCATACAATCTCAGTCATCCATTAGACATTCCAGAATGTTCTATTGGTCAGTTTTCACATTTTGTATCGAGATCTTAGTCAAAGTATTTTCAAAGTCTGTAAAGACATGGCAGGCTTGAAACCAGTGCCGTAAAGCTTGAGAAACTGCTTTCTGATAGTTTTTTGTCGAGTTCTTGTTAGTCAATTCATTGGTTGGTCAAAGTTTGAGAACACTGTCTGAAGTGAGTTGTAATGGGATGTCCTCATATCCTTGTTTAACAGTAGCAAAAACAAAGATCTGATTATAATGAGATTGGTGTGTGTGTGTATTGTGTGCTATCTATTCATGTGTAGCCAGTCACTATACTAAACTACACTTGACAATTCTAAAAAAAATTGAAATAATTGAAAGCAGGAGAAATATTTTTCTATACTCACAAACTCCTTGACATAGTCAACAAGGAATGGAGAAGCTCGGAGGTTGTCAACAGGCACGTCAAAGAAGGCCTGGATCTCCTTCTGGTGGAGGTCCATAGTGATGATGTGAGTCAGACCTGAAATACATGGTAACACTTCATAGTGATGTGAGTCACACCTGATATACAGGATATACATTGTAACACACTTCATAGTGACGTGAGTCAGACCGGATATACATGGTATACATTATAACACACTTCATAGTGATGTGAGTCAGACCGGATATACATGATATACATTGTAACACACTTCACAGTGATGTGAGAAAGACCGGACATACGGGATATACATGGTAACACTTCATAGTGATGTGAGTCACACCTGATATACAGGATATACATGGTAACACTTCATAGTGTTGTGACTCACACCTGATATACATGGTAACACTTCAGTGATGTGAGTCAGACCTGATATACAGGATAAACATTGTAACACACTTCATAGTGATGTGAGTCACACCTGATATACAGAATATACATGGTAACACTTCATAGTGATGAGAGTCAGACCTGATATACAAGATAAACATTGTAACACGCTTCAAAGTGATGTGAGTCACACCTGATATACATGGTAACACTTCATAGTGATGTGAGTCACACCTGATATATAAGATATACATTGTAACACACTTCATAGTGATGTGAGTCACACCTGATATACAGGATATACATGGTAACACTTCATAGTGATGTGAGTCACACCTGATATATAAGATATACATTGTAACACACTTCATAGTGATGTGAGTCAGACCTGATATATATGGTAACACTTCATAGTGATGTGAGTCACACCTGATATACATGGTAACACTTCATAGTGATGTGAGTCACACCTGATATATAAGATATACATTGTAACACACTTCATAGTGATGTGAGTCAGACCTGATATACATGGTAACACTTCATAGTGATGAGAGTCAGACCTGATATACATGGTAACACTTCATAGTGATGTGAGTCACACCTGATATATAAGATATACATTGTAACACACTTCATAGTGATGTGAGTCAGACCTGATATACAGGATATACATGGTAACACTTCATAGTGATGAGAGTCAGACCTGATATACATGGTAACACTTCATAGTGATGTGAGTCACACCTGATATATAAGATATACATTGTAACACACTTCATAGTGATGTGAGTCACACCTGATATACAGAATATACATGGTAACACTTCATAGTGATGAGAGTCAGACCTGATATACAGGATATACATGGTAACACTTCATAGTGATGTGAGTCACACCTGATATACAAGATATACATTGTAACACACTTCATAGTGATGTGAGTCACACCTGATATACAGAATATACATGGTAACACTTCATAGTGATGAGAGTCAGACCTGATATACAAGATAAACATTGTAACACGCTTCAAAGTGATGTGAGTCACACCTGATATACATGGTAACACTTCATAGTGATGTGAGTCACACCTGATATATAAGATATACATTGTAACACACTTCATAGTGATGTGAGTCAGACCTGATATACAGAATATACATGGTAACACTTCATAGTGATGTGAGTCACACCTGATATACAAGATATACATTGTAACACACTTCACAGTGATGTGAGTCAGACCTGATATACAGAATATACATGGTAACACTTCATAGTGATGTGAGTCAGACCTGATATACAGGATATACATGGTAACACTTCATAGTGATGAGAGTCAGACCTGATATACAAGATATACATTGTAACACACTTCATAGTGATGTGAGTCACACCTGATATACAGAATATACATGGTAACACTTCATAGTGATGTGAGTCAGACCTAATATACAGGATATACATGGTAACACTTCATAGTGATGTGAGTCACACCTGATATACAAGATATACATTGTAACACACTTCATAGTGATGTGAGTCACACCTGATATACAGAATATACATGGTAACACTTCATAGTGATGAGAGTCAGACCTGATATACAAGATAAACATTGTAACACGCTTCAAAGTGATGTGAGTCACACCTGATATACATGGTAACACTTCATAGTGATATGAGTCACACCTGATATATATAAGATATACATTGTAACACACTTCATAGTGATGTGAGTCACACCTGATATACAGAATATACATGGTAACACTTCATAGTGATGTGAGTCAGACCTGATATACAAGATATACATTGTAACACACTTCATAGTGATGTGAGTCACACCTGATATACAGAATATACATGGTAACACTTCATAGTGATGAGAGTCAGACCTGATATACAAGATATACATTGTAACACGCTTCATAGTGATGTGAGTCACACCTGATATACATGGTAACACTTCATAGTGATGTGAGTCACACCTGATATACAAGATATACATTGTAACACACTTCATAGTGATGTGAGTCACACCTGATATACAGAATATACATGGTAACACTTCATAGTGATGTGAGTCAGACCTGATATACAGGATATACATGGTAACACTTCATAGTGATGTGAGTCAGACCTTATATATATGGTAACACTTCATAGTGATGTGAGTCACACCTGATATACAAGATATACATTGTAACACACTTCATAGTGATGTGAGTCACACCTGATATACAGGATATACATGGTAACACTTCATAGTGATGAGAGTCAGACCTGATATACAAGATATACATTGTAACACACTTCATAGTGATGTGAGTCAGACCTGATATACAGGATATACATGGTAACACTTCATAGTGATGTGAGTCACACCTGATATACAAGATATACATTGTAACACACTTCATAGTGATGTGAGTCAGACCTGATATAGAGGATATATATGGTAACACTTCATAGTGATGTGAGTCACACCTGATATACAGGATATACATGGTAACACACTTCATAGTGATGTGAGTCAGACCTGATATACAGAATATACATGGTAACACTTCATAGTGATGAGAGTCACACCTGATATACAAGATAAACATTGTAACACGCTTCAAAGTGATGTGAGTCAGACCTGATATACAGGATATACATGGTAACACTTCATAGTGATGTGAGTCACACCTGATATACAAGATATACATTGTAACACACTTCATAGTGATGTGAGTCAGACCTGATATAGAGGATATATATGGTAACACTTCATAGTGATGTGAGTCACACCTGATATACAGGATATACATGGTAACACACTTCATAGTGATGTGAGTCAGACCTGATATACAGAATATACATGGTAACACTTCATAGTGATGAGAGTCACACCTGATATACAAGATAAACATTGTAACACGCTTCAAAGTGATGTGAGTCACACCTGATATACATGGTAACACTTCATAGTGATGTGAGTCACACCTGATATACAAGATATACATTGTAACACGCTTCATAGTGATGTGAGTCAGACCTGATATATAAGATATACATGGTAACACTTCATAGTGATGTGAGTCAGACCTGATATACAGGATATACATGGTAACACTTCATAGTGATGTGAGTCACACCTGATATATAAGATATACATTGTAACACACTTCATAGTGATGTGAGTCAGACCTTATATATATGGTAACACTTCATAGTGATGTGAGTCACACCTGATATACAAGATATACATTGTAACACACTTCATAGTGATGTGAGTCACACCTGATATACAGGATATACATGGTAACACTTCATAGTGATGAGAGTCAGACCTGATATACAAGATATACATTGTAACACACTTCACAGTGATGTGAGTCAGACCTGATATACAGAATATACATGGTAACACTTCATAGTGATGAGAGTCAGACCTGATATACGGGATATACATGGTAACACTTCATAGTGATGTGGGTCACACCTGATATATAGGATATACATTGTAACACACTTCATAGTGATGTGAGTCAGACCTGATATACAGGATATACATGGTAACACTTCATAGTGATGAGAGTCAGACCTGATATACAAGATATACATTGTAACACACTTCACAGTGATGTGAGTCAGACCTGATATACATTGTAACACTTCATAGTGATGAGAGTCAGACCTGATATACATGGTAACACTTCAAAGTGATGTGAGTCACACCTGATATACAAGATATACATTGTAACACACTTCACAGTGATGTGAGTCAGACCTGATATACATGGTAACACTTCATAGTGATGAGAGTCAGACCTGATATACATGGTAACACTTCATAGTGATGTGAGTCACACCTGATATACAAGATATACATTGTAACACACTTCATAGTGATGTGAGTCAGACCTGATATACAGAATATACATGGTAACACTTCATAGTGATGTGAGTCAGACCTGATATACAAGATATACATGGTAACACTTCATAGTGATGTGAGTCACACCTGATATTTAAGATATACATTGTAACACACTTCATAGTGATGTGAGTCACACCTGATATACAGGATAAACATTGTAACACTTCATAGTGATGTGAGTCACACCTGATATACATGGTAACACTTCATAGTGATGTGAGTCACACCTGATATACAGGATATACATTGTAACACACTTCACAGTGATGTGAGTCAGACCTGATATACAGGATATACAATGTAACACACTTCATAGTGATGTGGGTCAGACCGAAATACAACAGAGTTAAAAATCAGCACTGGTCATATAGTTGTTGCCAAACTGCCCAATAGTAAAGGTATCATAAGGACTAGTAGAAATTGGCCAATTTTATGTTTTTTTCTGTATGTTATCATTATAATGACTAGTGGACTAAAAATGTTAGTTTCTATCGCTGTACAAGGTATATGTTGTACTTGTTTGTTTGTTTGTTGTTCAACGCCGCACTCAGCAATATTGCAGCTTTATGACGGCGGTCTGTAAATAATCGAGTAAGGAACAGACAATCCAGTGATTGCTATCATGAGCATTGGTCCATGCAATTGGGATCGATGACATGCATCAACCAAGTCAGCGAGCCTGACCACCCGATCCGATTAGTCGCCTAATACGACAAGCATGGGTTGCTGAAGACGTATTTTAACTTCAATCTTCACGGGTAGGTTGCACAGAAAGTGAGTGAGAGAGAGAGTGAGGTTTAACGCAATATTCCCGCAATATACCACATGGGGGACACCAGAAATGGGCTTCACACATAGTACCCAGATGGGAAATCGAACCATTGCTTTGTGTGATTAGCAAACGTTTTAACCACCAAGCTACCCCACCGCCCCGAAGCTTGTTGTGAAGACACTGTACCTGATCTGCCCAGCATGGTGGCTAGCAGCTTGCAGACAATAGAGCCTCTCTTCCTCATCTTGCTCTGTTTGGAGTACGGCAGATATGGTATAACACCGATGATGTTGCGAGCTGAGCTGGTTTTGCAGGCATAGGCAAGGATAAGCAGCTCCATGATGTCGTTGTTGACATCCCTGCAATCAGAGTGGTAGAACAGTTGTTTGAACAGTTCATTCATCTCAATTACATAATTGCCCCTTTCGACATGTTCACGACATATCTTGAACCAATGAAGTAAATCTGGAGAGGCGTAGAGGGCCACTTACTTAGTGCCTGTCTGTATGATGTAGACATCCTTTCCCCGGACAGATTCCTTGATCTCCACAGTTGTCTCTGAAGCAGAAGCATGGTGATGCAGGTAAACAATCTATTTTACAATGAAATGAGGGGGGCACGGGTGGCCCAGTCGTCTAAGGTGCCGCGATTCGCTGTGCAGAGTTGCATCCCTTGGACACGCCAGAAACCTATGATTGTGGGTTCGAATCCCGGTTCGCCCCGATTATGTTTCTAGGTTTGTCATCTCCATACCTGTGCTCGTGGGTTTCACCGAAGTTGTAAACGTCTGAGACCTGCATCACTTCGGGCTTTCCTCCCACATTAAGCTGACACGCCGCGATATAACTGGAATATTGTTAAAAGCGGCGTAAAACCTAACTCACTCACTCACTCACTACAATGAAATGAGTGATTGAATGTTGTTTTGTATCATTATTTCAGCCATATCACGGCTCTGCACAGCCTCCAAAGGCAAGGGAGTTAACTGACTGTGAAAGTCCAGTTTCCACCCTTGCCGAAATAGGCTGGAATTATGGAGTTATATTTTGGCTGGACTAACGATTCTAGGCATAGTCCAATCAAAATCGCGAAACAAAATCGGCATCGGGTTAGTAAACAACATGAACCTCAACATGCAGATTTGGGTCAACTGCAGGATTTGCAAAGGATGTGTACCATCAACTGAGCCTTGACAGTTATTTCCAAAATCTTTTCATGTTTTTCATTACGGTGCTCACGTGATTTGATGCACTCCGTGAGGTAAGCCCCATTTTATTACAATACAGATCTTGATCCTCGATCAGATTGTCTTGACTGGGGGCTGCCATTTTATTTGAAGCTAATGCAAGTGATATGAGAGGTGGAATCTGATTGGTCAATAGGAGGGACACAGCAGGGACATAACTTGCAATAGCCACTGGTGGCCCTATGATCGAGCCCAGAGTGAGTAAGTGAGTATGGTTTTACGCCACTTTCAGCAATATTCCAACAATATCATGGCGGGGGACACCAGAAATGGGCTTCATACATTGTACCCATGTCGGGAATCGAACCCAGGCCTCCAGCGTGACAAGTGAAGGCTTTAACCACTAGGCTACCCGACCGCCCATCGAGCCCAGACATTCCAGCCTAGTTCGACATGGTTGAAACTGAACTTTCAAAGGCTTTACACTGGTCACAACTGACTGGTCTGTTGGATTATTTGGTCGTCTGACAAATGGGATGTCTGACAACTGGGAGTGAACCATCGTAGTTGACAAGGGTAGTTGGAGTAGTGTGTTTATCTCACAGAAGACTGGTTGGCGCATGTCTAGATTACTTCTCAGGCTTGATGTCTAAGCAACTTGATGAGATGGGGCAGGTTGGTGAACAATCCTAATTAGACTATTGACCAGTAGAGGACGTAACATGTACGCAAGACGGGTCTCCGCTACACATACGCATGACTACCTGAGAGGGGGGTCACTTATACCTGTGAATGTCTGTCCATGGACAACAAATTTGTGCATGCAGCACAAAAACATGTTTACAAGTGTTACTTGAGACACTGAGTGACAGTGTGTAATAGGGTTGGTTGGTTTGTTTGTTGTTTAACGCCGCACTCAGCAATATTCCAGCTATATGACGGCGGTCTGTAAATAATCGAGTCTGGACCAGACAATCCAGTGATTGATATCATGAACATCGATCCACGCAATTGGGATACGATGACATGTATCAACCAAGTCAGCGAGCCTGACCACCCGATCCCGTTAGTCACCTTTTACGACAAGCATAGTCACCTTTTTCGGCAAGCATGGGTTGCTGAAGACAGGGAAACAAGATGAGGGGATCATTCATTTTGTTATGTACTGGATGGTCTGACAATGTGTGGAAGTGAATTAAAGAAATATGATTCCTTGCAGGTTTTGTTTGTTGTTGGTCTGCAAAAATAACTGTCATGAAAAACCTATTGCGAGTGAGTGTCACTCGCAGTTTTCCCACTACTTTCTTGCTCACAAAAACTTTTGAGATTTACAGTTTGTCACAGCGTGTCAGCTTGATGTGGGAGGAAAGCCCGAAGTGATGCTGCATGCAGGTCTCAGACGTTTACCACTTTGGTGAAACCCATGAGCACAACCCAGAAACATCATCGGGGCAAACTGGGATACGAGCCCAAGATCAAACATTTCTGGCATGCCCAAGGGACACAACTCTGTACAGCCAATTGTGGCACCTGAGAAGACAGGGCCCCAGTCTGCATATAGACGTTTAGGGCTAATGAAAATCCATGGTCCACTTCATGGGCAGTGATCCACACGTATGACAACAATGACAATCGAGTGATCCATTGTGACGGCCAGGTCCTAAATCTAATCTTCCCATATCAAAAATCAAAAGCCTGGGTCTGCCCAGGGTGGGGTCGGGTTGGGTTGTGTGGGGTTGGGGGTCAGAAAGAAACAGGACAGGGATAAGAAACTTATTTTCCTGAAAAGAGTCTTCTTATCAATGGCGTACATGGTGTAAATATTGGCAATTTACTAACAAATAAAACTATAGGCCGTGATAGATAAATATTGTTATAAAAAATTCTTAAAAGTACATGTACTGATTGTATGTCAGGGGTTACAATTTCAATGAGCCAGCTCACAATATGTCTCAAAACAAGTGTAATATGCAGGAATACTGTTGATGTTTTTTTCAGATTCAAAATCATTAATGTTTGATGGTGTTTGGGCCTACATTATACAATGTATACCTCTGTTGGTCTTGTGGTAGACAGATGCCTCACCCAGCCTGGTGCCAAGACGTCTGAAACAGACAAGCATGTTCTAATTTCAAGATGATTTCTATTTGTACTAAACTTGAGAAAACTGCTCAAACACATGAGTATCAATGAACCTGAAAAACGGGTGCAGGCTTAAACGGCACCTCAGCAAAACGTCACCGATTTCTCTGGCGAAAACGGCACCGCATTTGGCGTAAACGGCTACTATGAGTCGGGCGAAAACGGCACCTCTATTTTTTAAGAACGATAACAACGGTTTTTGTAGTAATATATAGGGTATTTGATGTATTTACATGTCATTTGATGTATGTGATGTATTTACATTGTATTTCCCGTTTTCACAGATAAGTAAATATGTTCATATATGCAGTTTTGTGGCATGTCCATCGTCAACATCATCATCATCATCATGCTCTTCACAATATTGGTCCATGTACAACCGAACATTGGGAGAGTACTTGGGTCAGGGAGAGATCTCCATCTCCATCCTATAGTTGGAGTAGAGGCTAATTTCTAATGTAAACTTGTTTTAACATCTCACAATTATTGGCGTTTGCAAGTTACAATGTAAGTTTAATATCATTTATTTGACCAAGGAAAAAAAAAATAAGGTGCCGTTTTCGCTGGAGTCGAGGTGCCGTTTTCGCCCGGTGACGTTTTGCTGAGGTGCCGTTTTCGCTATAACCCTGAAAAACACTTTTTGTTTTCTGTGAGCACTGGGCTTACCATGCTTACTCATCAATATTACTTTTGTCTGGTTTGTTCTATTGTGCCACGGTTTTTAACCCATGTTGATTGTTTATAATGAATAATGTTATAAAGATATTTTCTTTGTACAAACAGTAAGCTAGGTTGGGAAACGTGACGAGCGTTGCGGTGTAAGAAGCGCTTCTACAATCCCCTCTCCCTGGGTCACAATCTCAGAAACACGCATGCATATCTCCTTTTGAACAGCGATCATGAAAATAAGAGTAAAATAGCCCTGTCATTCTTACTTCGCAATGGAGTTGGCTAGCTCCGTGTGAGAGTTGCCAGCGAGAACAATCATTGGACATTTTGTCCCCGTTGTTAGAATACTCATCGCTTCGTGTAAGAAAGTCTTGTCTGAGCCGTGTTCGCTTTTCTCATGTACACAACACGATATGTCCTTGACCTTTATCCCCGGTTTATGGGTGTCGTTCCGCGCGTTAATGCTACGAGCAGTGTTTTCATGGTATATAATAATCTTCGAAGCGAAATATGTTTCAGTATGAAACCATATCTTACAAATGACACCCCATCTGAAAATAATCACACAACATAGAAACCAACTAGGGTAAAACGTAAACTCCGCGCATCGATGTTAGGACACGAAATACACTCATCTAAGTTTCACATGTGTTGTGGTGGAGTTTACTGCACCGCGGGAAAAGTCATGTGCTTCCATCAAAATGTAAACATGTACATGAGAATAAGATAAGGTATCTGTCTGATGACAATATTTCTCAAATCTGCATTATATGGTGGATGTTTACCCATACGCATATGTCATATTATGTCGAAATCATCATATTTTACACGAGCTAAAAACAAAACGACAGGTAAGGTGACTGAAATAGACACTGAGATAAATGTAAACAAACACACAAATGTTGTCGTCAAAGGGTTGAAAGCATTTGCAGCTAAAAGGAAGCATATAAAGATTGAGTATGAGGACCAGAAAAACTCAAGTGTCAAACAAGAAGCAGCTAAGCAAAAGAAAAAGAGTGACAACATTGAAGTTGACGTGAAGCGAGAGAAATGGGAGCCACCCAACTGGAGGAATCAGCTGAAGAATATCTACCAGATGAGGAGCAGGAGAGACGCACCCGTGGATACCATGGGTTGTGACGTCATTAGTGACACTCAGGCCTCTCCAGAGGTGACGTACTATGTATATGTCATTCATACAGAAGGCCGTAGTTAACTTTTTTTGACAGGGGGGCAAATATTTGTACAAGTATCACTTGTCCCCAACTTGATTCAAATAAAACTGTTTCTATGAAAAATCCAGGGGGGCAAGACCCCCAGCCCCCCAGCTGGCTACGGCACTGATACAGTAGTAGATCACAAATAAATAATATGACACAGTGATGCTCTGATTTGAATCACAGACCTATAATTGTTCTACAAGTCTGTGTTCGAATCAATGGCGACTCGAAGTATAAATTGCATTAATAATGAAATGTATAAATGACATAGCAAAGAGATGATAACAAATAATTGTTTAATTTGAAGTTTACACAATATATGGCTTTTCAATTGGATTAGAGGTCGGTCACCTGAAATTGATGTTCATAAAACGACACAATTTGACGTTCTTACATTTTTCACGAGACCAGGTTCTTAAAATGATGTAAACTCCTAACGGACTACTTCCACATTCCTGGGGAAACCACTGGGAATTCCCTAGCACGATTACATACAGAAGCGTTTAGACCCTTTTATCTTGAACTCACTGTTTTAGTATACATTGAGAAAAGTCAGGATTTGACTGCGCGGTCGTTCACAAACATCCTTGCTACGGCCCATCCTAGTGAACAAAACGAAGAAATGCACATGAAAACTTTGGTAGTAACGACTTAATCCGTGTCTAGGCTGGCAGTGACTGTTAACAGCAATCTATGACTTTACCAATCTATTTACTTTACAAAGAGTAAGGGCCAAACATTGTATGAACGAGTTCCGACATTCATACAGTTAGGCCCTCACTCTATGAAGGTTCATACTCCAAAGAACTCACACAAAGTGAAAGTCAATTCTTAAGTATCGTTTTATTCACATTTTGCATGGGAGTAATTGTTGCTTGCTTAGTTTGAGCAGGGTTTTATCTTTGGGTTCGGTAAATATAAAATATGAATTCCACTTAGGATAACCACAACAATTAATGTTTACTAATGTGACTGACTTGTGTCAGGGTCCTTGAGACCAGAGGCCCCCATAATTCAATTTTCAGGGTATTGACATATGAAGTGTGAGATGGTCCAGCCATACTACCATGACAACACAATGACGCAATTAATATTTTGTATTTTGCATGTGTTTTAGGTGTTTCGTTACCAAGTACTGTTGTCGCTGATGCTGTCAAGTCAAACAAAGGACCAAGTGACGTCAGCAGCGATGGCAAAACTGCGCCAACATGGCTGCAACATTGACAACATTTTAGCAACATCGGATGATAAGCTGGGACAGCTAATCTACCCTGTAGGCTTCTGGAGGGTAATTACACCTGTACTATCTTGTTTCAGTGCCGTATCAATCTCATTAAAATCAGATCTTAGTTCTCGCTATTGCTAAACAAATATCTGATGACATCCCATTATGGGTCACGTCCGAACGACCTTTCATCCAACCAATCAGAGCGTCGCTTACCAGATCATGAAAGTGACAGTCGGAATGTGTTTTCTAATCACGCAACCACGAAATATTTAACAGAGGGTGTTCCGAACGACAGTTACGGGTTTTATGATTATATCCATACAATCTAGGCCATCTATAAGCCATTCCAGAATGTTCTTCTTATTAGTTTTAATTTTTTTAATCGAGAATACGTCAGAATATGTTTCGAAGCATAGTCGCCAGTTTGAAACTTGTGTCGTAAAGCTCGAGAGAGCTGCCTTCTGATTGGCTAATGTGGATTTCTTGTCAGTCATTTCATTGGTCGGTCGAAATTCGCGAAAGGTCGTTCTGACGTGACCCGTAATGGGATGTCCTCAGATCTTTGTTTAGCGGTAGCGAAAACTAAGATCTGATTTTAATGAGATTGAGCGCCGTATCTGTGGGGATTCCTGGCTAGTGTTCATGCCAAGCAACCAATGTTTGTTGTAAGAGGCCAGATTGGGTGGTGATTTGGTTGCTTGTGTGTCATTGTTTGTTGTTGTTGAACGCCGCACTCAGCAATATTACAGTTATATGACGTCAGTCTGTAAATAATCGGTCTGGACCAGACAATCCAGTGATTGATATTATGAGCATCGACCTACACAATTGGGATACAGTGACATGCATCAACCAAGTCAGAGAGCCTGACCACCCGATCCCGTTAGTCGCCTCTTACGATAAGCATTGTCACATCACATGGCATGGGTTGCTAAAGACATATTCTAACCCGTATCTTCACGGGGTGTGTGTCATTGTACTTCGATGGAATTTACAGGTGCTCATAATATCAGTCACTGGTTTCTCTGGCCCTGATTCAGTATTTTACTGGCCATCATCATGCAGGTAGGTTATTGCTGAGTGATGTTTTAAACAACAAACAAATATTAAAAAACAACTGATTCAGTTCTAAGCCAGTAAACACTCAATACCACGTACAGAGCATCAGTTTTGTTTGAATGTTAGTTATAATGTTTATGGGTCAGTAAGGTCATAATATATTAATTGCTAGATTATCATCCCGCCCAACTCATGACGAAACCCACCGAGACAAATTAATTTTATTTGTCCGAAGGAAATGTTTTGAACACAGTAACGACATCAGCTGTCTAACAGCCATTTCATGTTTACGACATACAACCAACAATGTCAGCTGTCAAGATGGTGCTAGCTATTTGGAAACTATAAGAGGGTGTGCAAACCGTTTAAGACTGGTATGCCTGACCTTTGCCAGAGTCTATGACCCTTCAACATGTGTGCTTATGGGATACTTGATAAGTTAATGTCAGGTGAGGATAAAATCATAAACTCAAAGAGTACAAGTTGGGGCAGGAAAATCGAAAATAGGTTTGACACAGATACATCTGACTGCAACTGTTGAAATCAGTGTTTATTTATTATCTTCGTTATTTCATCTATTGTCAATACCAAGGTGTCTTGTCTTCAACTTTGATATAAAATAAAATTTGAAATAAAAAGCCTCCTTTCCCACTGTTGAAAAAAGGCGGATGGTAGACTAGCAATTCATTTATTATGGAAAACCTCATGGGGACCTGGCTTGAGCATGTTGAGTTGGTCCCAGCAGTCATAGCTGGTTGTAGGTGGAGAAGGGTCATCTTCCCGAGGCAAGAGCGTCCATTTGCCATTTTATCAAAGTCTTGTTTCCACCCTTGCTACATCAAGCCCACTTTCCTGTGCTATTTATGATTGGACTATCGCAAATATCAGTAGTCCAGGCAGACAACGTTTCACAAAATCACCATCCACGACTAGTACACTTTCGTATGAAAGTGATTTTCCGTTGCGAGTCTTTGTTGACATCGATTGCCTATGTTTTCGTGTCAGGGATGAAATCAACTAGGTCATCACCTGTGGTAGTCTATGGAAGCTATACAAGATAAAAACAGCGATCTGATTGGATATCACGTTTTCATTACAAGGGGCACAACTTGTGATCTACGTGAGGTGGCGCAAGGGTCGAGCCAAGAAAAGTGGCCTTGATGTGGCAAGGGTAGAAACTAGGCATTGATATAGGATAGTGGACAGGCTCGCCATGGGAAGATGGTGAAGGGGTGGACCAGGTGGTCAGGCTGTGTGACTGACTGTTTGTGTGGTATTGTCCCATCCATGATGGTGTGAATCACTTGACCCAACCCAGTTAAGACTGGTATTGAATGCTTGTTCCTGTATTCAGAGAAAGGTTGAGTACATCAAAAGGACATCAGAGATCCTGAGGAGCAAGTATGAGAAGGACATCCCAGGATCTGTTGAGGACTTGTGTAAACTTCCGGGGGTGGGTCCCAAGATGGCCCATCTTGTCATGAAGTGTGCGTGGAATGTCATGTCAGGGATAGGGGTGGATACACATGTTCATCGCATCACCAACCGTCTTCACTGGTTCAAGAAACCGACCAAGCAGCCCGAACAGACACGGATAGCCCTGGAGGAGTGGCTGCCTAGGTAGGTTCAGAGTTATCCCCCCTCAGTGCAAGCAGGTTCATGGGAGATTTCATCCTGAGGCGTGTTCAGGAAGGCGGGTGCTTGCGATATTGCACATATCGCCAGCCATCTCAGAGCCATACAAAATGATGCCATTTTGGATGCTGTGCTGCGAGAGCGAGTACGCGCCTACCGTTCAGAAAGGCGTGATATTGCCTCACTGTACTCTCGCGCGGTCACTCGCCCTCCTGAACACGCCTCTGGTGTGTTGTCTGTTTGTCCATCAATCATGAACATTATACTTTTGCTACTGCAACTTTAGAATGTCAAGTCCACCTCAAATTCAAGTGGGCTTATGTCACGATACTTTCGTCTCCTTAACCAGTGGACAAGTAAAGTTGAAGTTTGGCATGCAGCTTACCTCCAGTTACCATGGTTACGACTCCCCATTTTGTTCAATATGTTTAAATCCACTTTTCAACATGGCTGCCACTGCAGCCATTTGAAAACCTTTTAATGATCACTTCATGGTCATGTTTGTTGTAAAGGTAGAGACCAATGAAGATCCGGGTAGAATAGGTCTTCAGCAACCCATGCTTGCCGTAAAAGGCGACTATGCTTGTTGTAAGAGGCAACTAATGGGATTGGGTGGTCAGGCTTGTTGACTGGCTTTATGCATGTCATCGCATCCCAATTGCATGGATCGATGCTCATGATGTCAATCACTGGATTGTTTGGTCCAGCCTTGATTATTTACATACCGCCATCATATAGCTGGTTTATTGCAGAGTGCAGCGTTAAACAACAAACAAACAAACAAAGTAAGTGTGATGAAATTTGGTATGTATGCAGTTGATTATTCACAGCATAATGATAGGGCTCAACTCACATTTTCTGTTTTTTGTGTTATTTATTATTTTAAGTATTGACCTTGATTTGACCTTTTTTATTTGAATGTCCTCTTAATTCTCTATAAATGTTAGCTTTCAGAAGTTAGTTTTTGGTTGTTCATGTGACTGTTTCTTCTTCCTTCTACCCAGGGACTACTGGCATGATATCAACCATCTACTGGTGGGGTTTGGCCAGCAGACATGTCTGCCTGTCGGACCCAAGTGTCACCAGTGTCTCAACCAAAACATATGTCCTTCAGCTTCAAGGTCAAGTGTCAAACAGAAAGGCAAGGCCAAGGTTAAACAAGAAGCGCTCAAAGAGAGTGTTGTCTCAACAGAGGAAGATGTAGATTTGAGTGACATCAAGTGTGAAGTTGATGCATCTTGTATTGACGATGAACATTTGTCATCCACTGAAGCAACAGTTAGGTCAAGGTCATCTAGAGGTTGCCAAGGCATTTTGATAAAGCAGGAACCAGATGATGTTTAGTGCTACATAAGAGGTATCTGATGTAGGTTTAAAGTTTTAACCAAAGATATTTAGACATAAAAATAGTCATATATTTCATGTTTTGTTTGTTTGTTTGTTGTTTAACGCTACACTCAGCAATATTCGAGTAAAAAATCGAGTCAGGAGCAGACAATCCAGTAATTGACATCATGAGCATCGAGTCTTGCAGTTGGGATACGATGACATGCATCAACCAAGTCAGCAAGCCTGACCAGCCGATCCCATTGGTCGTCTCTTGGGACAAGCATAGTTGCCTTTTACCACAGCATGGGTTGCTGAAGACCTGTTCTAACCCGGATCTTCACGGATCTTATTCCATGTGCCCCAAGGGTCAGTATGTGGTCTGGGTAGACAACACAGTATTGTTAGTGACTATATTGTCAGACTTTTCCAGACTTTCCAGACTTTCCAGACAGTTTTAGTTAGAAGCACACCACCACCATGAAACATACAACATACACAACATTGTATTTAAATGACACAAATACAGAATTGTTTCATTATGTTTTTTGACGATGGTTGAAGGTAGGTCAAGGGATAACCGGCAAGAATTCTTCAGTAAGACATGGTTACAACGAACAATAAGCAGTTGAACAATAAGCAGTTGTAACGACTTATTTCAAGAGTTCGAACTGCTTTGATATGATGTTAATTTTCCCCCAACATGTTGGTAAGGAATGTGTTGTATAAGTATGAAGGTACAAGTGAGAGATGAATGTCACCCAATATTAATGTGGTTAGGCATTACACATGGATGAGAAAGTAGAACAGTTTATATAGCCCTTTTTCGAAATTGTGGAACATGTGATCTAATGGCTGCAAATGTGTATATCAATTGTAGTCTACTGTCCTAGTGAAGAATGAAAGGGTATAGACATGAACAGGTTACACGAGCAGCTGTTTCAGGATTGAGAACCATATCTGACCAGACAGTGTGGAACTGCATTCATGAGGCAGGTCTCGGAGCTACACGTCAAGGTGTCTTGATGTCAACTGCAACGTTTGTGGGGTCAAGCAACAACTGGCTGCAGCAGCTGCAGAGAACTATACACAAAGACAAAAATTAAGCACACCCTAATATATTTCATAATTGTTTGGTCCAAATATTTGTAACAGTCATGAAAGATATAATTATGGGAAGAATTATGTTTTCTTGAGAGGATGTAATCAGTCATGCGTCACAAAAGCTCACGTGCCATGCATGGTATGCCCGTGCAGCGTGCTACCCTCGAGTATCTCTAACAGCAGTATATCCAAACGTTAAAATTGCTTTCTTATGCTCGGTTTTAAACAGTTATTCCATGACATTGTGTGACCATGGCACGAAGGCGATTATCAAACGCCACAAGATGGCAAATAATCGCGGACATAACGCAGGGATGTCTTGTAATGCCATTGGTTGGAATTTGGGGTATCATCACACTGTCGTAGTCGAGGAACATGCTAAGACCGGTGATGTACTGGACCGTCCCGGATCCGGAAGACCTCCCGTGACGACACATCGCGAAGACGGACCTTCTTCGTCTCATACGCCGAGAACCCTTTTTAACAAGTACTTGTCTGAAGCAGCTGTGGTTGCCCAATCGTCGTTTCAGCACCAGAACCGCCAGGAACCGGATGAAAGCGGCAGGACAGAGGGCTAGACGAATCATAAAGCGTCCCTTGTTGAGAGATCACCACAAAGCTGCTCGTTTAGCATGAGAATCTGGAATCTGAGAACTTGGAGACTGATCCATTGGTCAGACGAAAGTCACTTTCTGCTCCACGTCACTGATGGAAGAACGAGAGTTTGGAGGCACCGGAACACGGCCTACACCCCCAGGAACATTAAACCGACTGTTGCATACGGCGGGGGCTCGGTAATGTTTTGGAGGTGTATCTCTCATGATTGCACGTTGCATTTGGTCACCGTAAGGGGCAACGTAACAGGGGCTCAGTACATCCAGGACATTTTGAGGCCAGTCGTCATTCCTCATTTTGACAACCACCATCTTACTTCTCCACATCAATACGTGGATGACAATGCCAGGCCTCATCGTTCGCACGCAGTCGTGGATTACGTGAGGACCAATGCATTAACAACTCTACCCTGGCCAGCAATGAGCCCAGATTTGAACCCCCTTGAACATGTTTGGGATATTCTGTTGAGACGTATACAGGCACGAGATCCTCCTGTACAAGATTTACGCCAATTTGGTAGCAGCATTGCAGGAGTGGTTGTTGTTGACCCATCAACAGATCCAACGTCTGATTTGAGGCATGAGACGTAGGGTGGAATGCGTCATCCGGGGACGTGGCGGTTATACCCGCTATACTGATCTGTTTTACATGTCATGTCAAGTAGAGACTTTAAGGAACATTTTCACATGAAATATCAAACGTAACTCCTGCAGCTCCATACCTTTTTTAGGTATTGTCTAAGGTCAAAAACAGTACCTGTGTTACCATGATGTTTTTGTCAGTAAATTTCAATCACAACTCACCAATATCTTCTTTATTTGTTGTCAAATGTTTGTTCTATCCGATGACATTGGTATCGCCCAGCTCCTGTGGTCAGTCATCCCGTGCCATGATGTTTGCCATTTGTCATGGTTTAGAAATAGGGGTGTGCTTAACTTTTTTCTTTGTGTATATTTCGTTCAGCGACGTTTCAGCGAGGTGTACTGCATTGAGCTAATGGAGAGGTGAGGTGTGCCGATGTCGGGAGGTCGACAGATCTGGCGTGCCAGCTTGATGATGTGTACTCACATTTCGTCCATGGACAGGGGGTGTCGGACAGAACTCGGCGCTCATGGTGGACGTTCGAGATATTGGGTTTTCATGAGCTTGACTTTGTCATTTTTCTTGTAATGTCTTCATTTTGGACACTGTTGTCCTGTTGGCAACATGCTATCACCCATCAATCAGTCGATGTGCAGTCCCACGCAAAATTTGTTGGATTCAGTGATAAGTTCAATTGATCACTCGTCTATCCAATGGGAAACTTATACAACCACTAATATATATTGGCTATGGTTTTGCGGTGGAATAATTTTGCTATTGAATTACATTATTTGGGGAGACCCGTGAAGATCCGGGGTGGAATAGGTCTTCAGCAAACAATCTTGCCGTAAAAGGCGACTATGCTTGTCGTAAGAGGCGACTAAGGGGATCGGGTGGTCAGGCTAGCTGACTTGGTTGAAGCATGTCTTCGATCTCAATTGCGTGGATCGATGCTAATGATATCAATCACTGGATTGTCTGGTCCAGACTCGATTATTTACAGACAGCCCTCATATAGCTGGAATATTGCTGAGTTCAGCGTAAAACAAAACAAAACATCATTTGTGCTTCAGTTGCCTGGTGCCTTCTCGCTTGCATCTTATTATATGAGTGCATTTATCACCAAACCAATTCCTTTGCATGTAAAGGAAAGTTTTTTTATTGTCAGATTTCAGTATTAAACTAAGTACCGCCTTGCTATATTTTACAAATGGCGACAGTAATATCGCGATATCATCAATATCACATTATGGCTTTTTGGAAAAACAACGTGTCGTTCTAACGCTATTTTGTTTGTAGCTGTATCGCGATATCGCACCGTAGTACCGCTTTGTCGAGCTATGGCTTTCATTATAGAGTAAAATTCAGCGATGTCCCATCTAGACCACCGTACCTTCATTATTGAGAAAGAAAAGTTAACTTTGTTGGATGGGTTTGATCATACGGTGCTCTTACTTTCATGCAACGTTTAACTGATACAATACATTTTTTGTTAGACAAGCTGAAAATTCAATTCATTTCAATGAAACTATAGATGTTACTTAATATTAATAAAACGGTTTCTTTATGAAAGGTCGATATCATCACATGCAGGGCGACACCACTGAACGTCAAGTTTACTGTCTGTATAAACTGGTATTGGCCGTTATGAAAAACCACTCATGTCTGCCATCAATTCCTAAAAAACCTTCACAGTGATTGAGATTACTCTCTGTGTGTATAACGTTTATTGGTGTTGGCCGTCAAAGAGACTACTGTGAATGGAGATGATACAGTCATGATGGCTTACAGTTAAAACCACACTGTACTGTTTCAACAAACAATGTACTTATTGGCTTGCTATACACTCAGACTGAATCTCCCAGTGACATCTACCGCATTTGGTCTCTCACAATTAATTACGAGTCAACCCGTGAAGATCCTGGTTAGAATAGATCTCCAGCATCTGTAACAGGCGAGTAACGGGATCGAGTGCCCAGGCTCGCTGACTTAGTTGTTGCATGTCATTGTATCCCAACTGCGTAGATCGATGCTCATGATGTCAATCACTGGATTGTCTAGTTCAGACTCGGTTATTTACAGACCGCTGTCATATAGCAGGAATTGTGCTGAGCTCGCGCACACACGCACGTACACACATAATTACGAGGCAATCGTCAGGGCAGCTTAGCTTGCACTTAAATAAAACTCCGTATACTTTCACAACGATTACATTTCAACCAACTGTTTCGCATTGTAAGTTACTCCCTTGTCAGGATGTTTCTAACCTCTGTGGTGTCTGTAGTACTGCTGTTAATAATGATGCAATATTCAAAAGCACGGATTCCTGACCCTAATCTAGCCCTGTTCCCTTTTAAGATGACCCTGACCGCCTCCGTGGTCTAATGGTAGAGCGTCCGCCCGGAGAGCGGAAGGTCCGGGGTTCGATCCCCAGCCGCGTCATACCAAAAGACGTTAAAAGATTGTACTTGTTGTTACCCTGTCTGGCGCTCGGCATTAAGGGGCTAAAACAAGGACTGGTCGGCTCGGAGTCAGTATACTGTGTCTGAGTGGGGTATTCACGTTAAACTGCGGCATGGTATCTCAGTGTGCTAGCACTATAAATCGGCATCAGTCCGGACTAGTACAAGCAGCCACACAAACACATACACGTGCATGCACGTCGCTATATAAGTGCAATAATCTTGGACGCGACGTTAAACCCCATATCACCTCACCTTTAAGATGATCCAAAACAAAATCATCAAACAAAAGAAAGTCACCGACAGTTCATTATCGTCTTTTCATAGTTGTTT